ATACAAGGATCTGCTCCCCATTTCGATTTTGTGATGAACCGAAGCATCTTCAGTCCTTTTTCACAACGATCCTTTATGTAGTGAATCTATTTATTGCACAATAGCTTAGAATCTAAGACAACTCCCGAGTACTTGATGTGGTCAAGCACCCGACAGCTGATGTCTCGGATTTTGCGAAAAACACGATAGCAGATTTTTCCGCAGTCCCATTTCTCTAAGCCAATTTTGAACACAATACACTACGTACTTCAGTTTTCTGATACATTCCTCTACTGAATTATGGCTTGTGTATATGCAAATGTAATCAGCGTATTGAATATAACATTGATGTCATCGTCCATTAGATCGTGCAATCCAGCAGTGTATCTATATATTGAATAATATAGGTGAAAGAATTGATCATTGAGAAATACCATTAGTGATAATACGTGGTCCATACAGTTCATTTCTATGATTACGTATAAAAAATTTTCTATTCGCATAGAGAGCTAGATGCAGCAGCTCGCTCACTGATACCTAGACGTTTAACTTTATCGAAAAGGATATCGCCTATTATGAAGTAAAAAAATACAACATGTTTATTTACGGTCTAAAAAAATAAAATTGTTTATATGCACTTTCGTAACGTAGATGAAACCACTAGTTATGCGTAAATGTAACCATGCACAATTTAAGTTATTAGAACTATTATTAATATTACACATTTCACGCTATAAATTTTAAATATTTTTAATTCCAATAATCTAAAGTTCTAAAGAGTCAACCGCATATCTAGTCTACAAAGACACAAATTACTTGTGTTGCATTTGCCTTTAATTGCACAGAAACAAAATCGAAAACATAGATTTCTCAACGCGCGTTTCAACATAATCTTGGTTTGCGATATTCTCACGGGTTTTATTAACATAATGAATATAACTGTGTTATTGACCTGTGATTTATACTGACAAGTGAATAATTTTATTACAATTACAAAGGGGAAGATTGCAGTCGGTTAAGGAAGAACTAGGTATATTATCCCCAGTAGTCAACTGAGAATCACCAAACATTGTTAAATAATGGATGTATGTATCATCATGTACGCGTCGGTATACTGGTTAGAAAATTTTAAAACTGGACACTTGTGCGTTGATAATGCTTGCTAATATACCATATCTCTAAATAGTTCATTTTAAAATCCTCATAAGTCACACAATTTGAATTTTTCTGCAGAGAATAGAAATTGGGACGTTGACAAATAAATCAGTATTAAAGACCTTGTTTGTGCTCAATGTAGTATTTGAATGTTAGAAGATTGAAATGTCCAGTAGGCTTCACAGAAAACCCGCAAAACTGTGTTCTTCGCGCATGTTGTTTTAGCAAGAAATAGGGTTAGTGGTATATGACTTAAGCAAAAAAAACCTATTAGTCACACTTTTTATTGCTTACTATTGAAAATTAACTGAAATGTTGACTTATTAACATGTCACATGTTTTGATTTTTAATGTTTTAATGTGTTTAGGTTCATGGAAGGACAAAGAGAACACCTTCGTAAAATCGAATTGACTTATTCACTCGACCTTCTTTAATGATCGGCAATCGGCTGAAGAAGAAATGTGCTTATTTGATTACCAGTCAGAAAAATGAATTTTTTCAACAGAAAAATTGACTTTGTAAGATAGATGTTGGGCGTGAAACTCCATTAATATACTATCTGTCGGACGAGATTTTTAAAATATTTAACGCATCTTTATAGCTCTTTCTCAGTCATACATATGGGAAAGATTGAATCAGTAGTTTTGGAAGGAAACAAAGAAGTGATTTCAGACAACTGGATTCTTCCGTAATATTATTTTTGTTGTTAGTGAATTTAAAATATGTATTTTGGTGCATATAGGCGAAGGCATAAAATGCCTTACGTGGATTATGCCTGAAATACACAGGTTTCCAACTAAATATTTAAAAAAAAAGTGTGACAAGGTGGTTTTTGGAATGACTAATAAAAATAAGGTTATACTTAATTAATTATGTCCACTGTAAAGCTTGCCAGCCATTTTTTGCACTTGCCTTTTGTCAAACTGAATAGCTTTGTTTGCATTACTCGTCAGTTTTGAAATTATCCTACCTACTTTAATAAATAAATTTACAATAATTATATTAATTCCCGCAAGTGTGAAATGTCTCGGAAACTAGCAAGTTCCCAAACATAGGACAAAAACTCGTGGATTCCCGGGCTGATTAATTGGACGATTGTAAGAATAACTTCAGAGTGCAGCAGGATTGTTTTTGTCACTTTTATTAACATACTAGTATACAAATTATTGTCTTGGTTGGTGCTCACCATCCTTAATGACGCTTAAAAACTATTTTATTTGACAGGGAAAGCCCGACTACTATAATTTCTTCAAGGTCTTAGCCCACACCGTAAATGAAGATCGCAAATTTTGACTAATCGCTTATTCATATGCACAGCATGCAGACATAAAAATCTGTATCACGTTCAAGCGTATGTCTTTAAATGGATTGTTTGTGATGTTTACTGCGATATCTATCCTGTGAAATCAAGTTTTGCCGTTCAGTCTGAGACAGACAAAGATGGAGATTTAACTTTGTTCGTTCATCCATCTGATAAACCTGCTGCTCTCAACCTGATCACCTTCAAGCAATGTGGCTTTAGTCAATTTTAATGTTAATGGTGAAAAAGTAAAGGTATGCATATATTCACGTCATGCGAATGATTGCTATATGTATACGTCATAAGAAATAGAGAGATTATAACTTGTAGCAAATTTCGAATTGCATCAGGAATGTATAAGTAGTAATGGTGATGCATTGTTAAAAAAGGGTCAGGGTATCAAGTACGTGGCCAAACTTCAAAAGATCAGGTCCGGCACTACCATATACGAGAGACGCCTAGCAATACACTTGTCTAGGGCGCCAAAAACTCCTTAGTCGGACTGCAAAGGGCGATTACTTGGATGTTTTTTTTAAATTCCGATCCGGCATTATTTCGTTTTCAAGATACAGGTGTCCAATTGTTCTGAAAATAAGCTACTTTGAACAAAAATGTAATAATTATCTCAGGGACCTAGCAACCGCCGCAGACAGCTATGGATGATACATTTTTTTTTTTTTGGAAAATGACACTGGCAAATAAAATGACTCGGTTCATACCACTCATTTACAAATGGCTATTTTCCAATTTTCGGAGAGTAAGCCTTGCTAAAGAATCAAAATTTTTGAGCTCCACAATAACATCGTTGACTCTAACCTGAAGTAATCAGTAACGATAAAAGCAAATTGAGACTCCACATTCCTTATGGCAAATGGCTCCCGGTCAAATTGGCTGTGATTTTAGTATATTGTGCGATCAAGTCTTCATTGAACTAAGGTCCATAATAAACGGTTTTTGTATTACATGATGTTTAAGTCCAATAAATTCAAAAAAGATGTAAGTTTAGGACCAACACCAACATGATTTTATAATTTCTTTGGCCAATGATTATAAACCAAGCTCGTATAATAAATGCCGATACCACCCATCTGCCGATTCTAGATACATTTTTACCCATCCTCTGACGGTACCAAATCATTACAGCTCGTATGGAAAATAAATTCCTGGAGAATTAGCTGATATTTAAATATGGCATCATCTGTACCATTTTGATCAAAAGTTTTTTTGGGCGGAAGGTCCCGAATCAATGGTTTCCGAGTTACAGGTTGTGCAAGTAATAAAAATATTGATGGAATAAAGTTCCCGGTCAAATTGGCTGGATTTTAGTATATTATCCTCCATACACTTTTAATCATAAGTCTTCGTGAGAAGAAAGCTCCGATATCAATTGCTTCCGAAGTCCAAGGTGTTCAAGTGTGACAAATTCAGAGAAATGAGTCCGCGAAATAATATGTAATTGTGACCTTACGGATGTTGAAAAGAAAAGTGATATGTTGCTTCGAGCCATACACTGAACGTTGCCTGTGTTTCAACCACATTTGTCGTAAGTTCATATCATTTTCAAATTCATCAAGCTCAAAGGTCGTTGTTATTAGGACCATAGTCCAATTGAGAATTTTGATCAGATTAGTCTGGAGAACAAAATATTGAAATTTCAACCAATTTGACCGGGAGCCATTTACTATAAGGAATGTGCAATCTCCAAAACTGTAACCTTCCCAGGTTTTAAATCATACAATAACAAACTTTGGGCCGATCTAAAGCTGTTTTATTTTTTTCTCACAATACCACTGCCATTTAAACGATAATTGAAAATAAAGTTGTATAATAGCTTTATCTTGATCTATTTTCTTATTTAACTAGTAATACACTTTGGTTTCTCCAGTTGATCTACTCAGACAAGAAATACGTAGGTACATGGAATGTAAAAGGGGTATAGATAGAAAGAAAGAAAATTATAATGATACTATGTATTGTATGTATAAGTACAAGTGCTTAGGAGTTGGGAGAGATGGAAGCAACAGTGCAGTGTTGCATGCTTAAACTTCAAACACAGACAGTAGTAGTAGTAAGCTAGAAGAGATAAAAAATCGTGCTACCAAATATCAACAACAAATATTTAGTGTGTCTCAGTTCTTCCCATACATTCCTTCATATATATTTTTTTGGAAATCTGTCATACCCCTCGATCGTTTCACTTTAGTTATGGAAGTTCGATATTTATACAAATTGATATAAATTATGTAAAACTAATATATCTCTAAGAATGATACTTCCATTCAAAAATTGACCGGTGGTCAAACCATCCTATCCCAGTCATTCGTAAACGGCAAAGAGTTCAAGGAAAGGCGTTATTACCGTACTTTTACTCATGAAAGATAAAATAATGTTTCAAATGGCAAACCAAGCTTTTTGGCGTTATGTAAAATTTTTTACCACGGATGTGAAGCGCACCGTATGTTAACCCATAAAGACCGAGACCGTGTCGCGACCTTATCTAGATCATTACCAAGTGCGTAGGATTGAGAACGGTACTGCTAAATAGTACCAACGAAGGAGACTCACCAGAGGCAGCAAGGCTGTTGGAAACTTTTCCGAGCACACAAATGCCGACCGACAACAATATTCGATGGTACCACATTATGAACGGGATTTATTTGGACGGTGGTACTCGCGGTGGTGCCCAACGTTGACTGCGCCGATATCAAAGAAATGGCAAGACCGCTGCAAGGAAGCCGCAAGAAGTCTTTGGCACCACCAGAGACGTCGAATACGTTAAAGCTATGGGTTCTGGTAAACGTAAACATTGCAACGGATTGATTGTTCTCTCTGTAAAGACAAATAACAATCCGGTTATCAATGCTTATGGCACCTAGTGGGCGTTTACATGTTTCTAAATTCACTACCCAGTGAAGATAGTGACGTCATATACAGGATAAAATGAGGATGTGACAATGACGTCCCACAAGCAGTGAGCTCAAAGGTGGTAGAAAGGCACCGAAACTCATACTCTACTTACCTACCACTCTTGAACCCTCTCGTTCCAAATCGTTATCACCTCCGCAATTTTTTATGAGTATTTGTACAAAGTGTATCGAAGTGGTTAATAAAGACCTAAAAAACACCGTTTGATCTCAAACACGTTCCAGTCCTCCGATGGTTCAGAATTTGTCAAAATCGCTTTGCTTTTTCACAGGAGGCCGAAACATTTCTTGTTTCCTGGGTGTCACTCAAGCCTACAGTGCTCGGCATGGGCGCCCATTGGGGAAGACATATGCCCCTCACCTGGATTCTGCTTCAAAGTGAAATATTCTGACATTCTTAATAAGATACCCAATCCTTGGGTAAGAAGTGGAACATCCCAACATAGAAGATATTATGCTTCTTCGCTGATGATTGGCTGAATTATATACCGCCCAAAAATTTGAATTTTTACCGCGCTTTATTACAAATATTCTAGTAAAACTTGTTTATTGTTATACACAGAGGAGTTTCTAATAAATTTGTTATTTGCGGGAATAAAAATTGATGTAAGATGGCAATTTGAAATATCTGAACATGGAATATTATTATTATTAGAAAAGTCTTATTAACAAGATATTTTTGGTCGAAGAATTCCTAATACTTTTTATAAATAACAATTAAAAGCCGTTATTAATATTTGGATATCCAGGTTACCTTTCTGTAAAAGCTTAATTTATTACTTCACATAGCCTCCTACCCTGTGCGGTCCCTCCACCACCCCTGTTCCAGGCAACCCCAAACCCTTGAGGAGTGGGATGAAGAGCAATCTGCTCCTCCCTCCTCCCGCCCGAAGGCCTGGCGTGGCGCTGCGTGGTTCAGGCCGCTGCGCATTCCCCGAGTGTGTGCTGCCGAACGAGCTAGCCCCCCTCCCCAATTTTGCCCCTTTTTCCCGAAATTTGACTCGATCGCGCACGCGTCGCGGAAGCACGAGGTGGACGTTTCTTCCAACTGTCGGTTCTCGACTTTTATGGACGGCCTCTTTCTTGGGGGTCCTGCGCTGGGGGCTTTGACCTAAGCCCCAATTTATTACTTCTACACTACATTACACTACACTACATTATTATACTTCGAAGTTGAGTCATTTATTTTAACAGTGAGTAGATCTGATCAAAAGAAATGTTTTTTTCCTTTACCATTTTTCTGGTAAAATTAAAGTAACAAAGTTATAGCCCTTTGGAAGTTTGAGTACCGCCCTATCTCAATAATAATATATGTGCTCGTGTTTGGCGACAACGGATATAATCCGCCGTATCGGTTGATCGCATCGGAAACAAAAAAGCGAAAGAATTTGGAACGATGTTTTTACAATTATTTCATTCATTTGTATACAGTCAGTGTCAGTGAATAGTGGTATCTGTTGCGTGGCTCAAACGAAATAAAAAATGGCACATGTTTATGCGGATCGGTTTCCCAATCGAGTGCAACCAACCCCTCGTGCCTTTGTTAATGTAGTACAACGGGCTCGTGAATCAAGTGACTTAAGACCTTACAGGGGACCTCACGATCAAATACAGGTCCGCACTGAAATACTTGTCGGGAGGATACTTTATAAAACAAGGTAAAAAAAAATTTTTACACACATATTTTGGTTTATCTTCCTTCTACAATCATTATCTGAAAATTAATAACTCAACTTCAAAGTCTATATACTAACTTATGACAATGGAAGTGGTCTATATATGGCATCTCGAATACTCGCGATTGCGCCGCGAGCGGTCCATAACGCAAGCACATGGTCGCGCAACTCTGGTTGTCAAAGCGTCGATACTGCCAAGCAACTCCGCCGCCCAAGGTCCCAACTATACGAGAGCGTTATAACATGGTGAGCAGTAAGCTGGAAATCGGGCAAACCCAAATGAAATTGCACCATCAGACGTTGGAAAGGGTGTATCGGTTCAAATACCTTGGATGCTGGATAACTAAAGACTTAGATCCATCCGTCGAAATAAAGCGTCGATTTGAATAGACAAAAACCTCATTTCAAAAATTCTGATCTCTACTCTAATAACGCGTTGAACTTAGAAGTCCGTGAAAGGTTTGCAAAATAGTATTTATGATCCGTTCTCTTATATTGTGTATTTTGATTTATGAAGACTGCTAACTGCTATCATTAAAAAAATAGAGAGAGACAAACTAGAAAGGAAGGGGTTATTCAAAGAACAGGACACCAGCTATTATACTGCGTGACAAAAGAAGGTAAACACCTACGTATGTTTATCCGATTTTAATAATTTTTGGCATATATGTTCAGTGTCCTTTACTAGTAAAATGATTAAGTTTTCAGCTTGATTCGTCAACTGCCTGCAGAAGCTGGTGCAATAATGTGTTGAGGATCCACGATTTCTTATACACTCATTGACACGTCTGGGCATCGTGCTGATAAGGTGGTCGATATCCTGTTGGGGATCTCATTCCAGGCTACTGCAACTTCGTGATTAAAAGCTGCTAAAGTCTGTGTAGGGTGTTGCAAAATCAAGAGCCTGCGACCTGTCATGTCCCAGACATGTTCAATTGGAGATAGGCCGGCGATCGTGGTGGTAAAGGTAAACGGTTGATGCGATGTTGAGCCATGAAGGCTAATGATGCTCTGGCAACATGCGGTCTGGCACTGTCTTGCTGAAAAATCGGGTTTTGGATGGTGTTCATCACTAAAGACCACCTGATGCCATTATCGGTCCCATAAAATTCTTTCTTTACACCAGAGCAAACGGAAACGCCGATGTTCAGCTGTGAGAGGTAAGCGATAAGAAAAAAGGCCAAACTACTGAACTAACTACTGAATCTGTCTCGCAGAGCCGGAAGTCTTAACCGGTGGTCTTGTCGCTCTGTGGTCCCTCTGGGACGTCCAGAACCCCTCGCTCGCTGTCCTTGCCCTTCCTGAGTCCACGCTCGTTCACTCTGCAGTATACTGCGTAAGCATCTGTTGTTTCCTCTAGAAACTTCTCTTATCGATAGACCGGCTTTACGCAACCCGACAATTCGACCCCTCTCAAAGTCACTTAGCTGGGACACCCGGCGAATTCTACGCACTCTAGGCATTTTGAGCAACCACAACAAGGCTTCTCAACAAGCTACACGAAATTTAACATTTACCTGATATCGTAAATGTACGGAAACTGAATGCTTCTTTATCACCAAGCAATACACGCAGCCACCACAAAAACTTAACAGAAAAACCTGACCATTTTATCACTTGTTGTTCATCTCAAGATAAATCGATATGTAAAAAATCTTGAATTCTAATAAACATACGTAGGTGTTTACCTTTTTTGTCACTCAGTATAAATATCATTGCGAGTTGTCAATTAAAGTATCTTGGACATATAGCCAGTGCACCAAGATATGAGTTCCTTCTCAACGACAAAATTGAACGAAAGAAATGGATTGGTCGAAAGGAACTATCTTGGTTATGGAATTTACGGCAATGAATAGGTTTATCTGTCAACCGATTGCTGGACGTAGTTCTAGACTGTGAACACTATAAAGATATATTCTTAGCATGATAGTCGACAACGTCCTGTTAGGACATGCCCCATGGCACTCTAGGAAGAAGAATCCAATCAATAATCGCAAATGTACCTAACTTTTATATCGTGCTGGTCTTTGGAATTGCGGACCGCTTTGTTATATTTGTTTCTGGACTCGACGTCGGCTTGTCTGTTTTCTATAGTGGGGTTCTGTGTGCAGTGGCGAAGCGTCCAAGTAACCATTGTTACCATTGGTAACAGTTAAAAATCTTAAAAATAAATATTTTATGACTAAGTACTGTGAAATAATTTAATTTATTTGTTTACCAACAGCGATATGTAATAGTAATTCAGTAAATAGCAAATTAGCCCCACGAAACTAATGCGCGATATAGTGTTTAGGTTTTGCGAACACGATGAAGCTGAATTGGTTGGCGGTTGTTACCATTTTCATTTATGGATACACTTGGTAGTCCGTCGGGGACATCGACTTTGAAACAATCCATTGTACGAGAATCATGATGTTTAGTACCCACACATGCGCTGAAAAATCACCATAAACAGGGAATAATTTTAGTTACTAGAGGTTTGAAAATGTGTAGAACGACCACGAACAAATCCGTTGTTTTGCTGCCGTTTCTTGCGGCGAGGCAACGTGTCGATTCGCTTTGTATATGTCGTCAACAACCAGAAATGTAAGCAAAGGGGTCTATCCTCGTTTTAAAGTCGATGGTCGGGGACCTTTGGTGCCGGCTCGTGTCTGATATGGGCTTGTTACCATTTTTTGATTTGGTTACTCACTTCTCACTCGTTCGTAGCCGTTTTGGTTACCGGCTGTAGTAGTGTGCGTGCAATTAAACATAGATGAGTGTCGCTGCGTAATCGATCAACTACTTGAAAAGTCATTCTCCTTGTATAATTTTTTAAGAAAAAAAAGGAGATCATTGAAGATGGAAGACCAACACCTATTTTAGGTAATTTTAAAAAGGAATAAAAAACGTAGTTTGATATTTTAAATTAAGTTGGTATATGGAAACTCTTGTGGTGCAAAAAAGATTGTATTGTTGGCGATGTCATCTCTTTTATACAGAAAAAAATGGGTGGAACAGCAGCGGAGTCAACAATTTAAATATTTTTGGGGCTCTAAAGAGGAGACATGAAATTTCTCCGTTACATGTGAGATGTGTAGCCAATTCAATTCAGTTTCGCGAAACAAGAATCGAAAGTTGTCTTAACCAAGCTTTTAGGCAGCACACTTCTAGATACCGTATAGGACAGGACAGCAATGCTGTAAAGGATGGAATGCGAGGTTGAAAAGAGATCCAGCAGGCTACTTGCACTGCACTACCTGCTGCATCGGCCTTGTTTGAGCACAACCAAAGCACATTATCGCTATCTCTGAACCGGCGTGATTGATGTTCATCTTGACAGCGAGGTATTCAAGTATGTGGTCCCACTTATGGTCCGAGGGAGAGCGATAAAGGCAGCAAATAAATTTGGGGGATGTTTTGGAGTTGAGGCGAAGCCACAGAATGTCCTTCCGGACCGATTCCGAAGAAACATCTCTGGAGCAGGAAAGACTGCTGTGGGCAAAAGCCACAACTCCCCGTTCGTTCTCAGCTTGTAGTGCGCCTCGTAATTTGGGATGATTAATCGGTGCAGACTCTGAGATTTTGTGTGTTGCAGGTAATGATAAACAGCATCAACGTTGCTGTTAATCCCGCAGATGTTCGTGAAACAAATTTTATCATCAATGTTGTTCCCTCGAGTCCACCTTCCACCAGAACATTCCGAGAGTGGAGTGAGTTTACGTCCTGAATTCTTAGTACTCAAGGAATCCATCATCATTAATTTCTTTGTTGGGGAAGATAACCGACTGCGCAGCTTAGATGTGGAAATATGCGGACAATATTAAGACACCCTGAAAAAAGCTAGCGGATGGTACCGCCTCGGTTGACTATAGTCCTTGTCTAACACCCTTCTGTGTGTTAATGGTGTTAAATAGACCTAAAGTGGCCCGTTGGCAGACTTGTACCGCTATCCGGCAATCGGTACTGAGGTATTCTTTAACGCGTGTACAATCACTTCAACGGTAAGAAGTTCTATACTGAATACAACTTCCGGAACAAGCATATGCCACGGCCCCGCCCAGTAGGGGTATAGTAGTCTCACTAGTAGTACTTTAATCCCTCCAGTCGATCTTCTGGCACCAGTATAAAAATGGAGAGTGGGTTTGTTCGTAATGTTAAATAAATAGGGTAGGTGTGTATTGTAATCGTAAATTTTTCAAATTTGGGATATTATTTTTTGAATCCTGTATGACATATATATCCTACGGAAAATCCATTTCCGTCCTGTTGATAGGATCAGATTAATGATCTATCGAGTGTTTCAAGTACCCGTTTAGATTTAAACCCGTAGCCGCCAATGCTTCTTCGCTTGCTCTCCCAAGATCTCGCTCAGTCTATAGGTCAATGAAATAAACGCAGATATGACGATGAAAACCAAGTTCCCTTTCACTTTTGTTTATACTGTATTCTGATATTCTTGCTTATAAGATGTATTTAACAGAACCGTGGCTGTTAGGGTGAGGAAGAAAGGCAAGAAAAACTCTGATTTCTTCACATTTTTAGACGAGTTTCTGGTTTTGTATTTTCTGGTTTATTGGGTACCACACATTGTGACTACACAAATGGGTAGAGCCGTAATAAGTTAATGAATGATAAAACATAGTGGTAGAACCATCGATCCGTCGTTTAATTAATTCTATAATAAATTGATGAAAATACCGCTTAAGGTAGTGCTTGCGTTTGTTTACGATTTTCAGAAATGCCAGATTTCTTCATGGAATATTTGGTTGATATGATGATGAATTATTGATGTAATGTACCTGTATGTATAAAAACTTATTATAAAAACGTCAAAAAAACTGATCATATGAAACTTGAGCTGCATTAATACATTTGCGCAAGATTAGAGGGTGACCTTTTATTTAATTTTTGAAAAATTTGTCTGGAAGGCTGATAATTTCTATTTTCGGCGTATTAGATCGCTCAGCATTGATACAGAATCCACAGTGTAATTTCGTTATTGCTAAGCTTGTTGTGTACTAGACAAATTATCAAAAAGTCTGCAGCTATCGCGCTATAGTCCCTTAATTAAAATATTGTTTTCCATTCGAAATGATCCATAAAAATGATGTGTTTAGATAAATATATCGCTGATAGTATCATATAGGCGATACATCGGAAATATTTGCTCGTCCGCTGTTTATGATAATGATCGACTGGGATTGACCAATATCGATTTGTATATCGGCATATAGGTGGTATCCAACGAATTCGAATATGTTAGGAGCCGAGCTTATATGTTTTAGTGCAATCTTTTGTCTCATTTGACTACCAATGCCTACCAAAGTGACATCGTTGTATCAGCAAAATAATAATACAGAATTATGTTTCCAGTGCCGATATAGAGAATTTTGAAATATTACTAGATAATCAGCTGTCATTCTACCGTTATGGATACTCGTGAAATAGTACATAAGTAACTTGAACAGTTTCATTATATCGTTTTTTTGACATTATCTCGTGTTTTTTTTTTTTGACGTTATGTAGGTTTTTTAAAACATGATGTAGGTTTTCCTGAAATACGTCAACTTGGAACTAGCTGTCATTCTATTCATGCTCAATTGATGGAGCAAGCACGGAATGAACTGTTTGCACTCTAGCCTACTTATTCAACAAGTTCGACATTTGATCCTTTTTGTTTTTGGCATTGTTTAGGCTTTTTACGTAATAACCCTGCAGGTCTGAAACTGCATCAGGATCTTAGACTATTAGCAAAGTGTTTGTCAAAGCACCCCGTTGTCAGATGGACAGAATTTTCCCAGAACAAACACAAAAATCCCTCAGAATTGCTTTAAAAAAAAACAAATCACAATTAATGGAAAGGGGTAGGTTTGGTTCAAAGAGCGAGGGGGTGCTGTCTATCTGCGAAACGTATGGTTTTCCCCAGAACATTATATCCCCAAAAAATTATAGTAAAAATCCCTCAAATTTGGGGGGAGATCCCTCAATGCCGGTAGTTTTTCCTGGTATGTAGGCTCCATGATCGTAATGTAAAAACCTATATTGTGTATATTATATAGTTAGTAGTGAAAAAATCTATATGTATCTTGTTTGAGAAGGCCATTAGTGGTCTCGTACATTATACCTCTATGCGTTACGCGCCTTAGGTTATAAAAGAACTCGCCTAATAATGACCCACTTCTCAAACATGGTATGTAATATACTATTATTATTGGCCTCGCACATTATACCCCTCGGCGTTACGCACACCTTAGGTTATAAAAGTGCTCGCCTAATAATGGCCCACTTCTCAAACATGATATGCAATGCTCTATTATTATACCGCGGTTCATTAATTCTTTATAATCCTTACAGTTCCACTGTACACAAACAATAGCGACCCCTGGATGAGAAAATTATCTACTCAGATCCGAAGACTTGATTCGGACGAAAAAGTTAAATTCTGGGATCAAATTCGTAAGAATGGCTGCAAACGGACAGATCTTTGCAAATCTCACTCACCACATATGTCAGACTTGTTGGATATAGAACACTATTATTTTCAAGTAGAATATAATCTGCCCTAACATGTTGCTAACAGAAGAGAATCCAAGGGGATCAAAATGCCAAATGCTAATACTTAATTAGTTACTATATTGAAATTATTATTATTCCTAAAAAGCTACATATAAATCAATCTGAAGAATCGTCATCAGATTGTTTTTTATGATCCTCTTGATCAAGTCCTTTTAGCCTTTTGATGAGGTTGTTAGCAGGTGTAAATGTTGTGATGGCAGTGTTGCAGACAAAACATCTTGTGGATTTCTTAAACCTTGCCAACGCACATTTCTGGCAAAAGTAATGTTTGCACCTGGAAATCAAAATATATATTAAAACACGGTTTTACCATAAAGTGTAGAGTCATCAAATTGAATAACTTCAATATTTCAATCATTATTCATGTTTATGCAAAATTCTGGTGCAGGTCATGGTTAGATTTTAAAATTAAAGTGAAGATCAATAATGTAAAAATGATTTAGCACCTTGAAGGTGGTGATCGGCTACCATAGGCAATAGCCCCACAAACCATTACTCCAACGTTCCTGTGTACATGCCTCTCAACAGCAAATCCAATATCACGCCGTTCTCCATGACCATCGTGCGTACCTAAACAGAATCGCGATTCGTCGCTGAAGATAGCATTATGTCATTCTTCCTCCCAATGTTGCCGTTCTCTGCTCCAGGTCAAACGTTGACGACAGTGGTCCGCAGTCAGAGGAAGCACTAACCGTGGACAGTATGAAAACAGTTCAAAGGCCCGAATGCGGCGATAGAGTGTACGCATAGTAACATGTCTACCTTCTCCTCCAACCATTGGTCAGCGATCTGAGGCATAGTAGCAAATGGTCTCATAACAAAGCAACCAAGCAAACGAGCACGAAACAGCTCTAGCAAAAATACTGACTACAAAGGAACGAAACGAGCCAGATCGACAACTCAGGTGGCACTAAACTGGTAATGAGTTGTGCTGTAGGCCTCTAGGGGCAGAAATGTGTACTACACAAGCTCCACCCACTGCAATGCTATTCCGTATATTAAAAAAAAACAAAATAAAATGGATATACTCACTTCGAGACTACAGGATCTACAAAACTGCCTCTACATATTACACACTTGAAAGGTAACTCTTCCTCATCAGAATGTATTTCATATTTTGTATCATCATCACTTTCCTGACTATATGAACCTATAAAAAATTCATATAAGATATTGTCCATTTTTATTGACAGAAAATCTTAGAAATCCAATGCTTACCCTCATTCCACTCTCTTTCTAACTGCCATCCATGCTTATAGTCACTTCTATCATGGAGAAATTTACAACTATCACCAAATCCACAAAAACCAGTTTCTTTGTAGTCCTTACAAATGTCTGGTTGATAGTCCCATCTAACTGTGGCTCTGAGATTTGCTGGTGCTCTAATTGGGCCTTTTCTTACCATTCCTGAAAATTGAAGGATCATTAAAATATTTTATTGAAATGATATAGTCCACAGACACTGAGGTATCCAGAAAAAGATTCAAGATTTATGTTGAAGAAGACTTATGTCTCAGAGGCTATCAGCAATTGAAAATTGAGTGGGTCTGCTGTATCAGTGCTTCTGACAGTGAATTCTCTTGTGACTATTAAAGAACAGGTGTTGGCAATCAAAAACTTAGCAGTCAATCTTGATTTACCCAGAGGGGGGGCTTGCATTTCACAAAAAATATAGCATAGAAATTATACCATACATTAAATCAATTACAATATAGATAATATCATCTTTCTTGTAAAGGCTAAGCTTTAATTTAATTTAGATATGTTGAATATGTTGTAGTAATAGTAGTAAAAAGATTTATTTAGCACATTTGGCTAATAAACAGAATAATTGTAAACAACTTAGAACTAGTAAATTCAAGCCATATGGTGTATGATGTAAATGCTGGGCAACCTATAATTGTAGATTTAACAAGTGATTTCTCAATTTTACTTTAAATTTTGTCAAAGTTTTCTGGTCTTTTTTTTGTAAAATTTCATAGTATATTGATTGTAGAATTTCACACGTATTATATCTGTCATTCTCAGCGACTCAATATTGTATTGAAATCTTTCTTCTATCTCAGAAACCAGTTTTTGGAGTAGTACCCTTTTATCTTGTACCTTGTTGTGGAGAACCACCATTTACACTCCTCCAGTTTTGTAGCTGTTTCGCAGCCGATTTTGTTGGCAGCCATTTCTTCCGCTTTATAAAAACCCTGATGAACACGTTTTTTATTCCATAAATTTTGGAAATGATGCAAGCAACACCTACCTTGTGACGTATCTAACATCACTGCTCCCTACTGGCCACTGATTTTTGACCTGAGCGTTTGTAAGCTGTAACTGGAAGAAGACCATTATCCAGCTAAGACTGTTGTCCAGATAAGTTTAGGTTCAGGTGTTGAAATATTTGTAAGACCTATATTTGTAAAGCCTTCATATGTGTACCATGGTAAACGTTTTGCAGGATTACTTATTACAGTCTATCAATTTTAATTGTCAGGTAGCTTTTAATAACATCTTTTCTTTTAACTTGCATTCCTGTGGCATATGTGCTTCTTTTTTTTATAATATATTGTGATTCATCTTTAGATATCTTGTTTTATTTGACTCTCTGTATACAGTTAATTAGGCTTCATCATTAGTATTAGATTTAGCTTTTAATAACATCTTTTCTTTTACCTTGCATTCCTGTGGCATATGTGCTGCTTGTTTTGATAATATATTGTGATTCGTCTTTAGATGTCTTGTTTTATTTGGCTCTCTGTATACAGTTAATTAGGCTTCATCATTAGTATTAGATTTATTTTTCTTTCTGTGGTGGTCAAACAGAACAAGTTCCGACTAACATCTCGGGGATTTGTGACTTAATCCGTCTTGAGTCACTGGTGCTCTTAACCCCCCCTACTCTCCGATTTATTGAGCTAGGGCCTAAATTTACATGCCACTTGACAGCTGTTTTGCTTTGACAGATCCTTAGATTTCATTTATAGTAATTTATTAATTCATTAATTTAAAACAAGAAAACAGGAATCACCCTACCATTTCCTCTTATTTATAAAAAAAAAGGTAGCACATTATTTGGAAGCTATAACTATAACTTAATTTGTACTAAATATGCTCAGCTTGCATTTTAAAAACATGAGGGACCAATTATAGAGTTCATGTCTTAGTGAACTTAAATACATGCACAACTATATTAGAACTTTTCCTATGATAGGTATATCAAATCAAATTTGTAAATGTAAATGTAAACCAGTGTGACAGATGTACTATCTACCTACTATATTTGTTGCTGATTTGATGTGAAAAATATCAAGACACAAATATTTACCAGAACTGGCATTTCCAGCTGCTGTATCTTTGGGTTTAAAGTACTGTGTATAATTATTTAATCCTCTATATACTTTGTCATCTTCTTTGCCCTCCAACTCTTTATTTATTTCTAGTCTTCTTTCAAATATAGCTTGAGCATCTTTGTCCTGCTCTGTATCTATTTCCTAGAAGTAAAATGGAAAAAGTGCATTTTATTATGGATAATATGATTAAAGGGGGAAGAGGTGAAGATCTTATTATAATGTTAATTGATATCTCTCTAATAAGTCAATGTATGTCCTATCATGATAAACAAATAAAAAAACATTAAAGATCAATGAGCATATTCCAAAAGCAGTGGTAAAGCACCATGTTGGTGGCTATTTCAATCATATCCATACTATTGACATCAAGAGCTATGTACCTACTGCTGCCCTTGCCTAAATGCACCCATTGTGCACATTGAGTAACTTGTTACTGGAAATTGTTCATATAAATTACAAAACTGTGTATTACCACTACAGCAGTTGCTCCTTGATCAGATGGCCCAGAAGGCATAGCTGACTTATTTGACTTGTAGTTCACTCTAAAATCATCACTATCACTTGACTGATCACTTTTTGCTGATTTTTCTTTCTTCTCTGATCGACTAGTGCTTTGTAGATTCGGATTTGTTTTCATCTTACGTTTTGTATGTTTTACCACTTGTTGTCCTTCTGTTTCTTCTTCTTCTTCTACAAACAAAAATTAGTGAGTTGTCAATAGCCCTATAACTACACATATATACCTTCGGATTCTGATAGGTGTCTTTTTCTCATTCCTCTATTTTTTAATTTGAGCTTTTTGAATACGAAAGAACAGTTTTCACCAATTCCTGACATGGTTTTCCAATTTCTGCTGATTAAAAATTATTAAACAACAGTTGTAGCAGCAGCAACTCCTATATTTGTGGGTGCAAAACCTTTTTAAAACTAACTAATTTATTTAATTTATTAATTAATATTCTTTATTATTTATATAGTATATATACCACAGAACATATACACCAATATACACTGAAGAAGGTTTAATTCCATGCTGTTCAATGGCGACACGGTTGCCTCATTGTGCATTAATACCCCGCAACGTTGCCAGCTCTACAAATAAATCTGAGATTACTATACTTTTATATATAGAAATTTAGTGGGATATCGGAGATCTTATAACAGCACGTGTTATCAATATTTTGAGCTATCTTGACGAATAAGTGCTTTTTTGTAGATGACGCATATCTGCTTACTATATACTGCAAATACCTAAATATATATTTATTATATAAATCTCATAGGTTTTTCTACAAACAAATCAGTATAAACATTATTATGGTCCAGATGTTTTCATTCCCCAGCCTTTGTTGGCACCTGCATAAATCAAAAATTAGGAAAACAAATTTATTAGGACAATAATATTATTGTCCATGGTTACCGACAGAAATTTTTCTCAGGGGTGCTGATCATCATCAAGACATAACTTCTTGTGAAATGGTACCTGCCCCCAAAATTTTTTTATGAGCAGAAGTAGCAATTTTCTCAGGGGGGACAAATTATACAAAATTCTCAAAGTTGTACAGAAAGTGGATTCACAGAAGAGACCACAGCCCATCTCACACCACCCTGTGGGCACCCATGTTATTGTTCAATAACATAAGGCTTCAATTCCATTGAAATTATACTGAGCTTCACATATCAACCCTGCTGCTCTAAGAATAGATGATTTAAAATGAAGTATGGAAACTATTTTGGACAAAAAGCAGTATAAATCAACACTGGTTATTGAGCCATATAAAAACTTACAAATTTTATGGTGTGCAAATATCCTTCAGAGCTGTGCCTTCTGGCTGGATCACAAGTAATCTCTGAACTTCTGATAATTCTCAGGACCTCAGGGGTTAACATCGGCGGCTGAACTTTTCGTAATGATCCACTGTTCAAAAAGTTATGTGGAGATTCCAACAGGTATGATCTTCAAATATTACACTCCTCAAATGAGTAACCGCTGCATCTGCAGAAGCCTGGCTACTGACTGGGTGACTGGGATCACAGGATCACCCCGATCACCTTAAAAAAGAAACAGTTTTGATTTGGAGTTTGTCTTATAGCACAGCCGACTGTGCTTATAGTATACTAAGTGACATATAAATCCAAACACCCAGTTTAAATGGTTTTATTTTAATAAAAGTTTTTGAATGTATTTATCTTACTGTAAGTAACAAGTGAAAAAATGTTCAGCCTTATCAGTTGGACATTCCGGTTTTTATACTGCTTTTTTTTAATTCACTAACGCTCTAAAAATGAATATTTCAGCCGCAGTAAAGAATCAAAGTTGGCGGATTTTGGCTCTTGACATCCTTTACGATCGGTTACGATGCCTAGAGTACGGAGACCTGTACGATTTCGTCAACTTAGTGAGTTTGATAGGGGCCGTATAGTGGGACTTCGGGAAGCTGGACTTTCTTCTCGGGCAATTGCAGTTAGAGTGCAAAGAAGTGTAGACACTGTGGTTAGGTGTTGTCAGGCATGGCTTCGAGAAGGCCGTAAGCAAAGAGCAAGGGGCACTGGACGCCGCCGTAGAACAACAGACCATGAAGATCGCCGCCTAAGATTATTGGCCTTAAGGGACCGTTTCTCCACTACCAGGTCCATTGCAAATGAATGGTTTGCAGAACACGGAAGACCTATTGGCATGCGAAGTGTTTACCGACAAAGTTTTGGCTTGTTTTCATACCGGCCACACTGGTGGTGCACACAACGGTCACTCTGGGATCAGGAATGGAACAGTATTGTCTTTAGTGACGAGTCTCGATTTTGTTTAGGCATGCACGATGGTCGTGCCAGGGTTAGAAGGCGACGTGGTAAAAGGAGGAATCCACAGTTTTTTGTTGAAAGACATGTTCATCACACTGTTGGAGTTATGGTTTGGGGTGCTATAGCTTATGGTTCCAGGTCACCTTTAATCTTCATCAGAGGTAACATGAACGCGCAGCGTTATATCCGCGAAGTTCTAGAACCCCATCTTTTACCCTATCTTGACACCTTGGCACATCCAACTTTCCAACAAGATAATGCCCGACCACATGTTGCAAGAGTCACAATAGACTTCTTTCAACATAATGATGTCACATTGTTACCATGGCCACCAAGATCTCCCGACTTATCCCCAATTGAGCACGTGTGGGATATGATGGGTAGGAGATTGCTCAATTTGCAACGTCCTCATCAGACTCTAGAAGCACTTCGAGAGGAGTTGGTGGTTGCCTGGAATGAGATACCACAGGAGGACATTGACCACCTGATCAGAAGCATGCCTAGGCGCGTTGGAGAATACGTAGCCCATCAGGGTGCATCCACAAATTATTAAAGGTCAAATGGCTTTAAAGCAGTGCAATCATTTTGAAATTTTTATCATTTACTTATTATGCTTCATTAAGTACTTATACAAAATTTTATTAAAATAAAACCATTTAAACTGGGTGTTCGGATTTATATGTCACTTAGTATATTTACAAATAGGTGCGACATGGTTGTCATATTGTGCACCCGCAACACTGCTTTGTTTCCCATTCGCTCATATGAGTTTCACCCCTCTGGTTCAATAACGCTCACTTGTGATTGGTAGATGTCAAGTGGTTTGTTCACTAACACCAATAAGAAGTGAGCGTACGTCCATTAAGGCTGTGCCATTGAGTATTTAACAAAACCGACTGCCAAAGCCAAAGTGTCGAAAGCGATCAAACATCAAACGGGTTTCGCCTTTTGTGGTTTCGACTTCCACATTTCTCTCTTCGCTGAATCTGAATCTTGTTGTCTGTGTTAGTGTGTTTGTTGACGTTGACGTGCATCCAGCGATTTAAGTTAGGTTAATTTGCCATAAACATTGAAAATCGTCTTTACATATCCTAATCAAAGATTATTTTAATGAAAGAACTAGTTGTAAGTTTTGGTACCAAGTACATTTAAGATACTACCCTCATCCAAAATGAAAATTGCTATTGTTGGTTGCGCTCATGGAGAGCTAGAAAAAATATACGACACAATGGAAGCTTATCAAAGGATGAATAAAATTAAAATTGATTTACTGATATGCTGCGGTGATTTCCAAGCATCTAGGAATAAAGAAGATTTGCACTGTATGGCTGTACCGCCAAAATATACGCAAATATGTACATTTTACAAGTAAGTAGCTAAATTTTTATCATTTTTAATAGAAGTCATAGTGAGTAATGGTAGAGTAACAAACTAATAATATTCAACTTTTAGGTATTATTCTGGTGAACTGGAAGCACCAGTACTAACTGTATTCATTGGGGGCAATCATGAAGCCTCAAATTATCTACAAGAATTACCCTATGGTGGCTGGGTAGCTCCAAACATTTACTATATGGGATATGCTGGAATTATCAATGTAGGCGGTTTAAGGATAGGAGGACTATCTGGTATATATAAGGGAAAAGACTACATGAAAGGCCATTATGAGAAAGTCCCCTATGATGAAAATTCTAAGAGATCTGTGTACCATGTCCGGAATCTGGAGGTGTTCAGGTTGAAGCAGCTGTCGGGAAAGATTGATGTGTTTCTTTCACATGACTGGCCAAGTGATATATTTAATTTTGGAAATGTGAAGCAACTACTCAAAAAGAAGCCATTCTTCAGGTAATATATGTGTTTAATAGTCACTATATGAAGTCTATGTATACAGAGTGTTTCAAATTTGACCCTCATCATTGGGATATTGAAAACTGTAAGAGATGAGAATTTGTTTACATGGGAGCAAAGTTGCATATTCAGGTAATCAAAAAAATGCCAGTTGGAAAGTTTTGGAGTACTTCCAGAGATAGATGGAAAAACAGAATATTTCCAAAAACGTTAGTGTAGTGGAATTTCAAAATAAATTGCACATTAATAACATTGGCACTTTTTCTACATTACAAGATGGCATAATTAGAATTTCAATATGCTGTTAATTGATTTCAAAAATGTATAATATGTGATATATTGACACACTTTAGTTATTTCGGAAAAATAGAATTTCCTTTGTCTTCGAACATCAACTTTATTTTTTTCTTATGGATGCCATGTTGGATTTTTGCACAGATTAATAGTTTTTAACTTTCATTCCAGAAATGCATAACACGTCATACACCTACATTGCCAAACTTTAGTTAATTCATAAAATGAGATAGGCCTTGGAACTATCAGATTATCATTTGTTTCCCATGCCAGATTTATACCAAAGTCACTTTCCTGACTTTATTTGAGATGGAATTCCAAAATAAATTTCATGTTGTCATTGTTACTTATTCTCTTCTACAAGATGGCATAGTTATATTTTCAATTTGACATTTCTTCTTTTGACTTCCATCATCAACTTTGTTTTTCCAGATGGTTGCTATATTGGAATTTTGTACATTCAAATGGAATGTTCAGTCATAAATTCAGTGATGTATTTTCTTAGCTGGCTATGAATTTGTTGTTGGATGAAATTTATAAGGAAACAGAAAAGTATGGCGAAACCTGAACACAATATGAATATTGTATTGACGGTAATAGCAATAATAATCATAAATAAGCAGAGCAGATGTTCAAAACATCTGCTACTTTGTAGGCAAAGCCTGACTCTTCTCAGTACATTTGAGGTCTGGTCTGGTATATGAAACAAATGAAATCTGATGATTTCAAGACCTACCAAGAAAATTCTATTTTTCCGAAGTAACTAAAGCTTGTCAATATATCACATACTATACATTTTTGAAATCAGAATTAAAAACTCTATTCATCTGCGCAAAAATTCCAATATGGCGTCCACAAGAAAAAATAAAGTTGATGCTGGAGGACCCAAGATCAAATGTCATATTGGGATTGTAGTAATGCCATCTTCTAGATTTTTTATTTTGAAATCCCACTACAATTAAAGTCGCAAAAATTAAAATGGTTTTGGGAAAATTCTGTTTTTTCCAACCTTCTCTGCAAGTACTTTGAGTTTCGAAACTTCCTAAGCAGCATTCTGTTGACTACCTAAATATGCAACTTTGCCTCCATTCAAGCAAGTTTGTATCCCTTACAGCATCCGAGATTCCAATGGTGAGGGTTGAATACCCCTGTACTATTACCTCATAAGAAAGATTATATTGAGCATCCATTCTGTCCCAAATGAATTTACCAGTCACATGTATCTGGTAGCAACCATGCCCATTCATCGTCCAATAAAATGTACTGTAATTTGATAGGACATCTTAAAACTTAAGCTAACTATGGAAAGGTTTCTTAAACAGATGCTTGATAACAATATGTATTATTTGCACATAGATTGGAAAAAAGTAAATGAAATACCAGAGGTAAAAGTATCACTCTATTTATATGTAAAAAAGAACCACATTATTGATATAATCTTAAATATATTTCATTATAACCAGAAAAACACATTGCTGGCCTATTTTTGTAGTCTTCATATGATTTTTGTAACTTTCGTGTCAGCCTCTGTACACAAAGTTGTTCTTAATTTTTTCTGGCTCCCTACACGGTTTTGACTACATATTTTCCCAAGTGCCTGTTTCTGCTTCAAAAGCATGTACTATTTCTGGGGTGAGAGTGTATTTTACCTGAAGATGGCCAACTTGATACTATATTCGCGCATCGGAAAAATTATCCAAGATGTAGTGAGATATTGTAGCGTCATCTATGAGAATTTGTCACAGCTTTGTTTCTCTGCTCCACAATAATAAGGAATCTAGTTTGAAAAGGTTAGTGTCAGATGACTATGTAGTCAACTATATATGGGCATATAGCTTCAGTGGCATATAGGAAATACCTTTTCTAAGTAACATTCTGATTATTACTGTAGCAAATTCTCATAGGTAATGCTCCAGTATCTCATTTCATCTCCGATAATTTTTCGGATGCGCGAATATAGTATAAGGTTGGTTATCTTGAATATCTAGAATGTTAATCAATGCATCTATTATCTCTCGTCAACGCGAATGCCAATTTTTCTTTCAATTAATAATAATGATAGCATTTATTGTCTAACAGATACAGAATTCCTTTACAGAGGAATGTAAATTAAAAAAACATACTATTCACAGGTATTTTGTGACAGAGTCTTAGCAGCACACTTTAGTTTCTTGAGTTTTCAATTAGATATGTCAACATGCTGCGATCTCTTATTATAATGGGAAAATATTACTGATAATGGTTATTTCAACATTAGATTTATCCTACCAGCAGTAGAATAAAATGTTAAAGATTGTCTAGAGTGAAACTGGGGTACATTAAATTCAATTTGCGATAAAAGATCTGAACATTCATTAACATCCAATACAATTTATAAAGGAATGAAATGGATGACAGTGTCCAACCTACCAAGAAGGTTTAGCAAAAGTTTATACTTAGTTTCTTAAGCTGTATATATGTGGTGCTTTTTGCACCAGATATTTCAAAAACTTCATTTGTAGTTTATCCAGTCTTTCCTTGATGAGACACTGATAGTATGGATTCCAGTTTAGAACTTACCTATTTCGAGACTGCTATACTATTAAATGATCCACAATTTCTATTGAATCCATACATTTTGTATGCTTCAGTAATTCTATTATCAATATGATTAATAAAACTGATTTGTGAATCGAATAATACACCTAGATCTTTAGTGGTTAAATGGCGCACCAAAAAAAAAAAACATCAATATATATCAAATAAAATTGGTGCATTTTGCCTTTTCAATTATAGCATACTCAGAGTACATTCGTTTTTATGAACTTCATTGCATAGAATGTAGGAGTTAATAACCAAATAGTTCAAAAGCAGTTTTCTGTACCATTATAATCCATTTATAAATGTGGTAGGAAGTCATTATAATGAGATTTTACGTTTTTCAACATTACCAAGCAATGTTCAAGTACCAGTAACATGTAACTGGTAATGCACATTAGTGATAATGTATTTGTTCAGTGCGTTATTAGTCGCAGATACTCGGTTCGTATTATTTAAGCTAAAGATATAGGGCACTTGCAAGGATCACATAGGTACCTACATATAACGGTTGACTACTATTTATAATTTACAAGATATTGCTTTCCCCTGTGGATGAAAGATGCCACAAGTAGCCTTCGCTGGAACAGATACCTAATACCACTCTCATGTATCTGGTAATGTAGTGAATGTGTGAGCTTTCACTTTTGTATGTTTTTGTGTTCCTATGATTTTCATCTATAGTTAAAAAATATTATTTAGATGGGTTAAGGTTCTGGACAATCCACAGCATTTATTATATTTCTGAAGGTAGAAAAAAAAGAGAAATAACTCAGTAGGTACCTACATCTAGCCATTAATCTAAAACTATTTTTGAATTATGCTTATATTACAAATTACAAAAGAATGTTATGGAATAGTTTTTTTAATCATAAGTACATATATAAACACTTAGTTCTACCAAGTAGTTTATGACTATCAAATATACCCATCCAAACAATTTAAAGATATAATGTCGCCTAGTTAATCTGTCCCACTGTACATTATGATGGTTCAAGTCTATCAGAAACTATTGTTGGAAAAACCTAGAAATTACCAACATCCAACATGGAAAATGAGATTTGACTAGTTTCCAAATCGTCGAGATGCTTAATGTTTTTGACCAGATCCTAAAATGATCAGAAAGTTGAAAATGACTAAAAATGGTTATCATTCTTCTCCACTCTCTCCACTTCATCAAAAGAATCCTAATTGTTAACTACACCCAGAAATTATTATACACTTTGGGCGCCTTTGAGGAGTAAAGTACCCGTTTTTTGTAAGAGAGTAATGGAGTGCCCGTTTTTTAGACATGGAGTGTCGTGTTTTTGCACTCCTCAAAACATTGCTACATAGAAATTATTTACTGTGTTACACAGTTCGTATCTCTGCTTCAAAGTGGTTGTCTAGGCCTGCATGCCTAAGCTGCCCCATCTAAATTCTGCCATATGGGCACTCATGTTAGACTCTAAAAACATAAAATCTTTCTGGAATCTCTAATTTTTCGCTATGATCACTGTGTCAATTTTCAGAATTTACTAAGCTTTATGATCTTTGGTTATAATCTTTTGTTGAAACACTATTGACTCTAATATTAATTCCATTATCCCTATTGTTTACAGAGAAGATGTAGAAAGTAACCAGCTGGGCAGCCAACCTTCAAAGGAGTTGCTACATGGTCTGAAACCTGCATATTGGTTTGCAGCACACTTGCACTGCAAATTCGCAGCTCTTATTAAGCATGAAAACAAAAGCATAACAAGATTCTTGGCACTAGACAAATGTCTACCAAAAAGGAAGTTCATGCAGATTGTTGATATACCGCATGATGAGTCTGCTCCAATGAAAATTAGTTATGATCTGGAATGGCTGGCTATACTATTCTTAACAAACCATCTGCTTAGTGTGAAAAATATTCAGACTTATATGCCTGGTGTTGGTGGACAAGAAAGGTATTAACTTTTCTTAAACTATCTTATGAAATTAATATCAGCACATTAATAGTAGAATCTTATAAAATTTGCAACAACCAAAAAGTCACTGGTATGTTGAATACACTGCAGCTTGAATATGTTGATTCTTTTTGGTTACAGCTCAGTATCACTTATGATTTTTTTAAATAGTCTCACAAGTGAAATTTGACTTATGTTTGATGAGTGTTGATTATGCCGCAAGATGCACCTTAATTGTATTCTATAAAACGTAAGATCACTTATAATAAAAATTTATTGCCCGGCACTGGTAGCAGTGTGAATACGGTAAAATATTGGTGACTCAGAACTCTCTCTCACACACATTACGACGTTAGGGGTATGTGGTTTTCAGTGTATAAAGTACATATCCAACTGCTTGGTCAAGATCTTCCAAGTCTTACTTATAAGCGTTTCGTTAAAATCGACTGAGGGGTCTTCAGGATAACTAGTGTCAAATGTCCCTGGAATATTCCAATAAGCTGAAGCCAAATACGACCTTATAGAGAATTTTGTAAAGCATTCTATTTATTTTCAGGTACAATTTCACTCCATGTGTAGAAGAAAAGAACCACATTCAAGAAAGATTCAATTATGATCTCATAGTCCCTAACAACTTTTGCAGAACAGCCCCTGTATACAGTAAAAATGCTCAAAAAGTGAAGCTAAAAGCCCTACTGAACCCCCAAACAATAGAATTTTGTGAAAAATTGGCTCTAGATGATCCTGTGATGCTGGTGGCAGAAAATTTGAACATTAAATTGAACATAAGTACAGACCTGAGTTACACTGAGTCTCTCATAGATACTACTGCTAATAGTTGTGAGAACTCATTAGGCAAAATCAGTCTCCCCGACCCTAAAGGGGACGAGAGAAGTTCAAGTGAGGAAGATAGTGGGAGCAGCAGTACATCAGATGAAGAAAACACTAACGTTGCAGACAAAGGAGAAGGTAATCTGCCTGGTGCATCACCAGTACCAAAAAGACTTAAAAGAAGGAATGAAGAATTATATAAAAGTTAATCTTTAGATTAATAGGTTGTAGAATGCAATAATTTTTTAGTAAAGAGTTATGACATGGCTAATTGGATATCAGCCAATGCTGTATAGAGTCACATAATCAACCAAGTTTTACGCCAGTTATGATACAGGAATATGAAATACATTTCTGTTAGTTTATTTTAGGAGGTATCTGGTGATTATGATTTTTATTGTGTAATTCTGGATTTTTGGATTGCATTTTGTTAAATTACATACCGATTTTTGTATGTATTTTATTTTAATAGATAATTTGTATATAACACGTTTTATTTTTCCACTCGCCTTTTCACCTTCATATCGGGATTCTCCACGCTACTTGACCGCCCAAAACTCGGGGCGCTGCCATGTATTGCCGTAGCCCTGGTAGCTTCATGGGAGGATATGGTGCTGAGGGTACCAGTAGATGGCGCGTAGTATAGAATGCAATGATGCTCAATGGGTCTCACAATAAATTGGAACACAAAACAGTATCGTGCAGAAAAACGTATAAATCATGTTTTTCGAAAATCATTGGGTTCCCCAAGGAGAAAACACCAAGATTCATTATTGACAGATGGGAACCTGTCAGGCGTGCGCGTGCTGTCATGGACAATCATGACAAGTGACGTATGACGTATGCCTTTGACAGACGGCGAATTCCAATTTTTAACAAACGTGAAAACTTAACCCTTTGATCAGAATTTTCAGAGCTTTATGGCGATGTTAGTGTGTAAAATTTACCGATTTTACATACAGTAGTATGGATATAGAACTTTCTTCTAATCATCTGGATGGGCATTTGCTAAAATGGATATAAATAACGTGGTAAGAAACCTTTGAATACCATGCATTCTTTTGAGGCATTTGGGCTATCAGATGCACGTTTATTTTTTCCAGAAACCCGCATAACCAACTCTTGAGGTCAATCGAATATGAATAATACATTTTTATTAATTTGTGAGCCAATATTTGATGCATTATACATGTGCTAACTTAGGTTGAAGTTGTATCACTCAGAATTATCTGGATATTGTTCGCATCCAAAAAGAGGGGGCTTTTTGAAACTGTGGGGTCAATACTCTGTTTATATCCAAGCGCAGAGGTAAAATAGACATTTCAGGCAACACAAAATTTTTGTACCATTACAGTCAATACATGATGCAATATTATAATTTTATATTTATATATAATGGGTGAAGAAATAAGGAAGTGTAGTGACAGTAAAACCTTATTTCAGTGGGACATTGAGTTTTTAGACCTGAATGGTATGGATGAAGCAGAAAAACTACAGCTAAGGACATCATTGCAGCTACTTGATCCATGTGTGCAATTGCCTTGGGTAAGAGTCAGCAAGAAGACCACAGGTAAACATTACTCTTCATAAGTTTCCACAAAATATGTTAGTCTGATATTTAATGTAACAGGGTATCTAGATTTTATGGCTTTTGTGCCTATCTTCTTGTCTTATTGAGGGGGGATGATAAATTGTATGTTGGAGCAATCAGTGCCTATTGTCTTTTTTACAAGTATCAATTATGGTAGAAAAGCAGCTGATTATCTAGTAATATTTAAAAATTCCCCATATCAACACAAACATGCCACATAATTCTGATGGATCCGTCAATGCCATTTAGACAGAGCAATATTTTGTTTGTGTTTTTTGTAGACTACAGATTCATTTTGTACTTACTAACAACTCTTTTATTTAGAAAAGGTCATTTGCATACCAGAAAAAACACTTGGAGCAAGTTTAACTAGATTTATGCTCAATTCATTATTGACAGTGTTACAGACTAATACAAATATGTCGCTAGCTGATCAGCTGTTTGCCTCAGTAGATGTCAAAACCTGATCGATACTCATGAAATAGGGTTTAGGTAACTAAACTTCAGGATTTTACCCTTGTTCTGTTATCACATTCTGCAGAACTAATTTCTATATTTTCATGTTTTTCTATAACAAAATTCAGAAATGCACTGAGTAGCCAATGTCAAACAGGTAATTACTCAGTCTGAATGCAAGGCATACAACTTGTGTGTATCAAAGAACTGCAGATGAGATGTGGAGATTGAGCTTATGTCTCGCCAATTAATTAACATACTAGCAAACAATAGCCAAGGTTACCACATTATTTTTCTGAAAACAGTTGATTTCTTATGAAATTTCAAAAATAACTAAAACCACACCAGTATTCTGCTTTTCTGTAAAAAGTGCTTTTGCTTATACATTCATTATACATAGTCATGCCATAAGTTCTGTCCCTCGTTTTCAAACAAGTGTAGACCTGTTAATACTTGTCCGATTGTTTACATTGTGGTGTCAGTTGATTAAGCGCTTTTCGGGTAATTACATATACCTCAGTTTGTATTGATCTCTCGAAGCATAACGATGGAGTGGGGCAAGGCAGAGAACCGTATTGCAGTGATAGCTTTACATAAGTGTAATCACAGTGCTAGTCAGATTTTTGAACTCTTACGCGGCCTTCAAATATCGCGTAAATTTGTGTCTAGGACCATTCAGCGGTACAATGAGACGTCCTCTGTTGATGACAGGCCAAGAAGCGGAAGACCTCGTCAAGTAAGGACTCCAGCAGCCATCAAAGAAGGAAAAGGCAGGATTCAAAGGAATCCACTCCGGAAGCAGAAGATCCTATCCAGGGAAATGAAGATTCCTGTCCGGACGATGTCGCGCATCATTAAACAAGACCTAGGGCTAGGGGCTTACCGGAGACGTACGGGCCAGCGACTTACGGCCACCTTGCGACACATCAGGGCGACAAGATCCAAGAAGCTCTTGGAGAGGTACGCAGCTGGGGGATTCCGAAAGATTTTGTTCACGGATGAGAAAATCTTCACCATAGAAGAAAAATTCAACCGACAAAATGACAAAGTGTATGCAAGGAGTTCACAGGAAGCTTCGGAGATCATTCCGAGAGTTGAGAGAGGCCACCACCCTGCGTCAGTCATGGTTTGGTGGGGGGTGTCCTACGAAGGGGTCACTCAGCTCCATTTCTGTAAACAGGGCGTGAAAACAAAAGCGGCAAACTATCAGAGCGACATACTGGATCCTATCGTCAAGCCTTTAAGTGGTACATTGTTTGCCAACCAACACTGGGTCTACCAGCAGGATTCCGCCCCCGCTCACAAGGCTAAGAGTACGCAGCGCTGGCTGGAAAGCAATGTGCCAGAGTTCATTGCTGCGGAAGATTGGCCCTCAGGGAGTCCGGACCTCAATCCTTTAGACTACAAGTTGTGGGACCTGCTAGAGCAGTTGGCCTGCTCCAAAGCCCACCGTAATATCGAGTCCCTGAAAGCGGATTTGATCCGATCAGCGGCAGCTATTCCTTTGGAAGCTGTGCGTGCAGTGATAGATGAGTGGCCCGCGAGATTGAAGCAGTGTGTGAAGGCCAAGGGGGGACATTTTGAATAAAACTGTTTGATTATGAATTCTAAAAATGTTGTCGAATAAATAATATCTTTCATATAAATATATCTTATCTTGTTTCATTTTTATCATGAGATTATCATGGGACAGAACTTATGGCACGACTACGTACATACCCAAGTATAGGTTCTTCCCAAATTTGGTTCTGCTATGAGATCAGGCAGCTTTCTGTGAAATTGTAGTTGCATGGGGTCTGATGTTACTACCCTCATCAAAAATGTCAAGTTTCCATTTAAAATTCCAGAAACAAATAGACTAAAAATACTGTCCTGTCATCCATTGTCTTACAAACAGTGGCGGCTCTTGGCAAAATAAAACAGGTGTTCTGCAAATCCGAACTTACCTGTTTTTATAGATCAGTTCGATCCTGTGCTGCATCTTGGCAGCAAATTAGTTGATCACCTTCCTGTTGAAATTTTCCATGGTCGAAATAAATTCCTTTTCAATGGAAAGCATTGACAACGCTCTAAGGCGATCCTGGGTCATAGTATTATGAAGAAAAGTCTTGATTCTTTTCAATGTTGAGAAATTTCGCTCAGCCTCTGATGTTGACATAGGAGTTGTAACAATAATTTCTAATAGCTTTTCTTTTAGTGTTTCCTCCAAACTATTTTATATCAAAAATTTCAAAAGAGACAGAGTTCCATGTAAATCTCGGCAATCATTCGGTGCATAAATAACAGACAACTCTGTCTTTAAACGAATTTTTTCTAATTCGGGATAACCCAAGCAGGTAGTTTCCAACTTGTCATCAGGAAACTTACCACAATATTTTCCAAAGGGATGCGGCTACCAAATGATCTTTGAATTGAAATCTGTCATTTGCGAATTCACTATACTGTTGCATTCTTCTAATGCGGCAACTCTGTGATCGTGAGTGATCGTGACTGCTATTATTACGTCGTCTCCTTTTGTTGAACCCCAATTCAGTGCAAATACTTTTGGCTTCATTTATTATGTCATCAATTCTATTTCTCACATTGACAATACATTTTTCAAAATTATCGATAGCCGTTATAACTTGCGCTGGCTCGGTTTTTCTCTTCTGCAACTGGTTGAACAAGATGTCGACGTGAGGCATGACATGATGAAAAAATGTCAACCAAAACACGAAAACAGACTCGTTTAACATACAGCGAATACCGCAAACTGCCTTGCAAACAGTCTTGCAAACAGTTTGATTAGAGAAAATTTCTTCTATGAGTGATTCTCTGTTCTCGAACACTACATTTATTGTTCGAATATGAAATTCCAACGAGTTGTTGCTGCTTGTGGAATTTTTTCCCCACAATTCTGTTCAGTACCTCTACGCGTTGAGGAGAATTATTAAAAAATCACGGAATATCTTTCAAATCCCCAAAGAACACCCGAAATTGAGCATTTGCGGAAGCAGCTTGGTACATAATCAGGTTTAACTGATACGCATAGCAATGCACATAGTGAGCAAATGGATATCTTTGTTTAATTTTTGCCTATAGTCCAGCATTATGTCCGCTCATTACCGCGGCTCCATCATAGCTTTGTGAAATCAGTTTGTCAGGGAAATTTCCTATTAATGGATCTACGACACTCAAAATATGTCTTGTGAGAGTATCAGCGTCACATTTTTCGGGATTCATATAATTCCAAAAACGTTCTACTGGTTCGCCCTTGAATACGTATCTGAAAATTGTTACCAGTTGGGTTTTCCCCGAAATGTCCGTTGTTTCACCTGCTATTATCGCCAAATACGAGGCACTGTTACTCTATTTTATTATTTCTTCATGACAAACTTCAAGAATACAATCCAGTAGATCGTTTTGTATTTCTTTCGAAGTTCCTTTAAATATTGAAGCATTTTTTGTGTTCGCTTATGGTTGTATCAAGCTCAGCAGAAAAATTAATCAGTCCACGAAATATTCCCGGGTTTTGGGAGCTCTCGATTTCGTCGTGGCCCCGTAGTGCCAATCCAAATGCTCCGCAAAATTTTATACAATCGATTATTTTTGATAGAACGTACCTGTTTTTTGTAACGGTATCATTATGCTGTTGTATATTCCTCCAATAAGCTGAATCTAACTGAGCTCTGATGTTAACAGTCCCCAATAAAGCCAATTCCATCGAATTATGAAGATGTGTTTTCATGCTTCTTAATTTTTTCACTCAGGTGCACTAAATCTGTAACACCTACCTCCGTTCAAGCTTTGTCACCCCCGAAAAGTATGCAAGGAAAGCAGAAAAGAGCATTCTTCCTGTTGCACCCACAAATCCAGTCAATTCTGGTGTAAATCTCCTTGCTGAAATGCCGCGTATAACACTTGCCCCGACTAACGCCCTGTGTTTCTATAAATATGTCCGGCAGCGGCCGACCTGATACCTTCAACTCAATTTTTTCTTCAAATATGTATTTCCAGAATCGTTTCACGCTGATAAGTCTGTGAACCACATCCATTGTCTTGCACTACCCTTTTATACAGCCACAGTCACTCAGTGAGTCACTAGTCACTCAACATAAGACAGTGTCCCATGAATAATGTTACGCTGCGGTCGCGACGAAAATGACAAGTACACAATTGGTCGATTATAATGCTGCAAAACAGACTCGACGCCGTGTCTTGCGGAGGCAGACCGCTATTGTTTCTGTTTGTGCGATAATATGGAAAATAAATAAAGATCAAATTACTACTGCTTTTTTCTCTTAAGACAAAAGTTTTGGCAGTTCTGCAGCTCTGCATAAATTAAAGGCCAGCCGCCCCTGCTTACAAATGTCCTTCTTTTCTGATAGGGAAGGTTGAAGAATAATTCATGTTTTCCTAACCATTAAATGAAACTTTATATATGTAAGATTGATTGTTTACCAATGCTTCAGCGACTTTGGTGGCCTCTTTCGAAGCACTAAAACCCCAAAATAACCAAAACTTAGTGAAAGTCAAAAAGTTGAGTGAATAAGTTTCCCACATGAAAAGAAAAATCTTTATTCATATGTCAATATAGATCTATATATTGTATTATACACTGTCATTTTTGTTTTCTTGGATACCTCTTTTTTGTTGATAAAACCTTTACTCATCGCATAGAACAAGTTGTTTGCCTTTCCTATCCTTTCAGAAATTTCTATTTCATTTCTGCCGTTAGGTTCCAATATAGCTCCCAGATATTTAAAGGAGTACACCTGTTGTATTCTTACGTCCATAACTTTAGTTTTAAGTTTATTTAGTTTCATACCATTATCTTCAAGTACTTTATTCCAAATGTTCATATTTTCCTGTAGACTCCCAACACTACCAGTTACCAACACCAAATCATCTGCAAATGCGCACTCTGCTAGTTCCACTATTTGCACCTTCCTGTATCCAACAAAAATTGGTTTTGTTCTTTGCTTGCATTGTCTTATCAGATCATCCATAAATACTATAAACAATAGGGGACTAAGCCCTCCACCTTGACGTACTCCCTCTGTAGTAGTGAATTCTTCAGACATCATATTTCTGGATATTACTCGGTTGTTAGTCTTGTGAGCACTTCTACTAATTTTACAGGAACATTTCTTCTCAGCAAATTCTCTTTTAACTTTTCTCGTGGAATTCCATCATAATATGTATTTACATAATGTTTTTAATTTAGTTACTGTTGTATATAGGTAGTAACATACATACCAACTTTTTTTTGTTAAAGCCTTGAGATGTTCTGAATTGATCATCTTATTCAATCTACCTGTTTTCTTTTGTATTAAATTCATAGAATTGACCTTTATATACCTAAATAACTAAAAAACAACGAAAATCGGATATAACGACTTTCTTTGCTAGGTCGCTTGCAGGATGTTATAACTGATTTTCACTGTATATACAAATGGCAGCTAAATAAAATAAATGTGTTTGGTAGTTATATCATAGTTTTTAGTGGCTGCCCATTTCATCATAAGATAGAGTGAATTATAAAACACGTAGTGATATCACAATGCCAATAAGATAATCTCTGTCTTTCTTGCTTATCACTGTAACTCACCGGAAAGATATGTGCCATAAAAATGCTCAATAACTGCTGGATGTTAACCCTTCTCTCTGAACATTATAATTGTCTCCCATTTGCAGATCCAGTCCATTCAAATCTTTCAGATGCCAAAAAGACTGTACACAAATATGTCAAACAAAATGTTTAACTTTCAAACTGAGTAAGATTGCCCACCAAAATACCTAATGATGAGTGGTGATTGATCATCGAGTTAGAAAGTGAGCCACTTCTACTATGTTGTCAAATTTAAATGGTTTGATACAATCGTACAAATGTACCTCAACCGCAGAGTGTGAATGAATGTAGTCACTGATTTCCAAACTTGCTTTGATACATCCCACATTACAGCAAACAGCTCGTTACCCAAAGAGGAACACTTCCAGCAGGGTACTGTCATCCCAAATGCAGCCCACCCCAGCCCACAAACAGCTGCACCTTTTGCAGTCATACAGCCAACGGCCATACCATCACCCATCTTGGGCAATGTCTACTTGAACAGCGAACATGCTGTACAACCAGTGGTCGTACCAGCAGCAGTCGTACCAGGGTACACGTCGCCGCCGAACCTGGTGTATATTACCTCGCCGGTACCGCCACCAACGGTCGGAGCTTACGCACAGCCGGTGATCGTTACAGGGGCGCAGAAAGTAAGTACGATTGAAAAAACATTTTATTTCACAAACTATATCCAGTGAAGTTTTCGGTAGAAAGAAGTATTTACGGGAAATTTTATGGAAACGTATCTTGTTCACCTTTTATCCGGCCACTACTTTTAACCAGGAACTCAGGAATAGCTCACACTAAAGACTGCAGAGGAAGGGATCATCTAAAAGGTTTTTTCCTCTTAGCAGAGCATGCTCATGAGAAAAATCTCCCACTTCCCGCTTTAGTATCCCATACTATTAGGTTCCAAGGGAGAAACATCCCTCTAGAAGGCCAATTATTGAGAACGAGAGTGTAGAGTAACTGTAATTGAAAGTATGCGTAGTTCCATATCTTTTTGAGGATTGTATTATTTTATTTTTTAACGTCTCAGACGTTGACAGAAAAATCGCCCAACAGATCATCACTTGACCTGGGTGTTAAAGTTAGTTTTTAGATCATTGCATCTGCTGGGAAAAATATTCTGATACGGTTTTTTTTTTCATGATCTTATTCAAATTGACCTTTCTGCATGTTTCCTGGTCCAAAATTAAGGCAAAAATGGTTTTAACGGTTTTGTGAGCAAACTTCAGATTATTTTTTTGGGTCATTCAGAACATAAAAGGTTATGAATTTTTTTGTACAGTGGATAGTTTTCAATATATAAGCAATTTAGTATTTCGACCCCGAAAAACAATATAAAAACGGAAATTTTAATGTTGCCAAAACTTCTAAATGTTCTTCAAACACCCATTAACTGCAAAGTAAAAACATTATAGGAGTGCTATTATTGTAAATCTCTGTTTTTTAATTGGTAGCCAAGCTTGCGCTTAATGTAAGTTTTGCGTAAACGTGAAAAAAAGATGCAGCTGGCGGCCGCCTCTATGACGCAACCCCTTGAATTTGTTCGTTAATTCTTTCAGATTGTTCCACAAACAAATATCACTCTGGCGTACAATCAACCTTCAGCTTACCAAGAACCCATTCAGCATGTGCACAAGCAACCTCAACAGGTTTATAGTCCTCAAAATGGCGTTGTACTAGTTGAATCAAATAGCACAGAACATATGCAGACAAGTGTACCTCACGTTAAAAGAGAAGCAGCTGAAGTACAGCCAATTAAGGTAGAAGTTGAAACTCCACAGAGTGCTCCAGAACAAGCTTCTGCTGTGCAGATTCAACCGGAAGTCTTTCAAAATGGGATGAAAACTGAAACTGTCAATAGTCAACCAGCAGGCAAGTCATGGGCCAGTTTGTTCAATGACAAAGCAAAAATGAATGCTGCAAATCAGAGTCCAGTGACAAGTCAGAGTGACATAACTATTAATCAATCTGTAAGGGAGACATATGATAAGGATGCAACAGATTGTCCATTTAAGCGACCCAGAACGGCAGAGTTTCTTGATCCGGTCTGTTATCGCATTGCTGGTAAGCTTCTATTCAGCGTTCTAATCTATCAATAATTTAGATGGTCTTCAACTTGGGGATAGCTAAAATAGATTTCTCTATTTGTCAAAGATGATAAAGTTTATCCTAGTTTTTTCGCTTGTGGGTTATAAAACAACGTATTTGAAATTCTTGTAATGTGCAGATTTTTTTTAATCCTTTATTATTTGATTTTATTCAAGATACTGATAGAACTTGACCATACAATCAGTCAGTTATGTCTATGGCTACTTTATTTAAAAAAGGTCCTTATTTAACCTACATAAAAAATTGGTAACTGAAAAAATATATAAATAATGTAATGTAATTTAATGTAAGATGATGATCCGAAAAACGTAAAACCTATTATGGCTGATGATATTGATTCACAAGAAGCTAGCTCTTCAAGTCAAGTTTAAAACGCCTGCTATTTGGAATGTTTTTCTTATATTAGAACCCAATGCACAAAATTGTTTTGGCCTCTTTTATGAGAAAACACGCTGTCTTAGTATGGTCAGAACATTTGAGTACCTTATAGGTCAGTTATGGACATTTGACCCAAATTACAACTTGCTTCATCTCAAGCTGTCAACATCAGATAATGAAGGTTATTTTCCTCACATTTGACGGAAGCTAACCCATGGCAGAATTGGGTGACATTTTCGAGATACGATAATAGGAAAACTTGGGTCGTTCAAGTAATTATTTTATTTTATATTTGAAGTTTCGCCACTTTTTGTGCATAGAATGGATGCTCAGTATTGACATTTCATCAAAATGGAAACCCTTTGCCAGGAAACTAGAGTGGAAAACCAAGAATCATACAAACGGTGCACAAGTATTGAGGATGTTCCTCATCCTTGACTGTTTCTCTACTTGTACCTTAATATTCGCAATAAAAATTTCATAACAAAATGATGCATATTCCAAATCCAATAATAATTTCAGGGTTTTGTAGTTACCACATTTATCTGTTTTATTCTAGAATTTTTGACATCACATGTTGTAGACGGAAAAGCGGTGAGCTTACAGCCAAGAGGTCTTCTGAACAAAAGCAACTATTGTTATGTAAATTCCATTTTGCAAGCTCTTATTGCATGTCCTCCAATGTACAACATGCTTAACAGCTTAGCGCAAAATGTTAAGCTTAATTCTAAAAGGAAACGCACTCCATTTATCGACGGGATGTAAGTATAACGAAGATTTAAAAAATTATGGTATTTCTAATCTTAATTGAAATCGACAAAAAAAATAGATCTCTCGGATTTGGAACTCTAAATTTATTAGATGGTGTGAGAGAGCATAAAAACTGCTAAATCACTTTCTGTAATTTTTATATAAATACGAATGGATTAACCGTATCGATATTGTGACTGCTGTAAGCACAGAAAACAATGGAAGCCAGTATTCTGAAGGTTTACTACGTGCCGACCGTCAGTATCAGTGATGTACCGACGCGTCGAGTATTGCAAGTTTTGGCGTCTGTTATTAAAGTCATGCATGAAAGATGGCGTTTTGGAGACCATATGGGTCTAAGGAAGTTGGAGATCTTTGGATCCACCTTGTGACAATAGTACACATACTAAACTGAAAGTGTGGCTCCTATGACAGTAGACAGTAGAAAATAAATAGATTGACGAAAAATCAATGAACTGTATTTTGAAAATATTTTTTCGAATTAACAATAATAGGTGCCGTTTCGTGAGAGAATTTAAGCACTTGCCTGCCAATCAAAGAGTGACTAGCCGTAGATCAGATGGAAAGAACACTAAGAAGGATCAAGGGATAATGGTCAATACTGATGTGCCCTTCGAACCATTGTGGATCCAAAAAATGTTGAATGCTGGTAGACAGGAGGATGCAGAAGAATTTTTGGGATTTTTATTGAATGGGCTCAACGACGAAATGCTAGAGGTATGAAATGTCCGAACATGAGTGAATTGAATGTTTTTGGTAGTCGTTTTCAGACTAAACTAACTTCTTTTATGAATATACCGGGTATATCAAATTCGAGTATAACCATTGGGATCTCGGAAACGGTAAGAGATATGAATAAGTCAGTCAAAGGAGGGCAAAGTTGCGCATCTAGCTAGGATGGGACCTCGGTTGGCCGGGTGGGTCAGAGTGTCGTGCTACTGATCAGCCGGCCGGCCGGGCCGCGAGTTCGAATCTCGCCTTTGGAAATCACATTCCGAAGCCATGGATGTTGTGGCGTCAATGTGTTAGAAACATATATATTCAAGAAACCTAGTGACTGGCTGCATGGACTCCTAGTCCTAACGCCAAAAAAAAAAAAAATCTAGCTAGGATAATGGCACTTAAAAAGTTACGCAATTCAGACTACTTTCGGCGGCAAACTGGTTTTCCCAAAATTAGTGTTGTAATCAGATTCACATGTGATGATCTGTTGTTTTCAAGACCAACTATGTAATTTTTTGTTATAAATTTCTATGGTTTGGCGATGACAATGTTATTGTTCAACTCATTTTGAGATATCACCTCAGTCAAGAAAAAATGAAAACGATTTTGTGAAAAATTCTATTTTTTCGGTCTCCGTAGATACTATGAATTGTCAAACTATCTACAAGACACTATTTTAGTTACCTATATCCGCAGCTCTGCACCCATTTAACCGAGTTCATATCTTTTATTTACCCTTTCCTAGATGGTGATACTAGACTTTGAGTCATATGGTTTTGAGCTAGGTAGTAATATTTCCATCTAAGAAAAATACTTTATTAGTTATTAATAGGATCTACGATTTTTTACTAACTATTAATAATAATAATAATAATAATAATAATAGCTTTATTGTCCAACAGTTTCCCATTTATAGGACAATTTATAAACATAATACAAAAGCAAAAAAAAGCGAAAAGAAAACAACAAATGCAACAGGTATAAATTTGTAACATGAGCTATTGGTCCGAATAAGCCTTAGCTGCCTTTAGCAGGTAATTAACATTTGTCGTAAATATATCACAGTAACATCCAATTCTGTTTAAGTTAGAGCACATTACATATAACGGTGACTTGAGAAGAATGTTTGTCCTAGCTCTAGGAAGCCCGAATATTTTATGATTGCGAGATGCAAACGTTGGAGTACGAAACTTGATCTGTTCCAGGATCAAGGGGCAATTAATTAAATTGTTGATCATTTTGTAGCCAAATATTATTGAGGCACAGTACCTACGTTTTTTCAAAGTCAACATGTCTAAGCGACTACATAGTTCCTCATTACTTGTACCTCTCTCTGGATATGTCCCATCAATCCTAAACAGAACAAACTTCATAAACTTCCGTTGTACTCTTTCAATAGCTGTGCTGTAGCATTCATAGTAAAGGCTCCAAATAATACTACAGTATTCGACTTTGGAACTAACATAAGCATAATATTGTGCAAGGTAGCAGTCGGAATTCCTTTTTAGTACACAGACCTTGTTAAAATCATCCTAAGATTGATTTAATAGAAAATTTGTTCAAATAGTCTGAAAGGAATTACCAAAGAGTTTTCTGATTTTGATTGCATGATTTTATTAATGACATTTTTCCAGGTCATGAAATTGATTAAATCCGAAGATAACCAATCAAAAACAATAAAAATTAATGAAGATGACGTTGATAAAGGATGGCAGGTACATGTTTGGTATTTATTGATACTATTGTATATGCAGTTGGCGTGTATATTAATAAGACACAAGTATCCAGCCCAGCTACAGCAGATGTTTATTTTCTAGGTGATGGGACCAAAAAACAAAGGTAGCGTCACCAGGCGTACAGACTTTGGAAGAACGCCAATCAGTGATATATTTGGTGGTTTCCTGCGATCCAGAATACATAGAACTGGTGATCTTATCACTGAAAATATTCAGCCATTCTTTACGCTACAGTTGAATATTGAGGTAAAGTTTGTTCACTTATAATTATACGTTGACGCGATTTCTAAATGTTCTACTTATATAATTTAAATTTTATTTGATTTAAAATTATTTTACCTTAACACGTGATTGAAACACTTCCCCTATACTGATAAAGATAACTGCATTCTAGAATGTGATATGAATAATTAAATGAAATATGAAAATTGAAGAATATGGAACTATTTCAGTTATTGACATCTGCACTTGTTTAATTCTCAGAAAGTAGCAACTGTTAGAGAAGCCCTGGAGGCGTTAGTCACTAAAAACCAATTGGAAGGACTGACGTCACTTAAGACCAACGAGGAGGTGGAAGCATGGCAACAAGTTGTGCTAGATGAACTGCCTGTGATACTTATACTTCATCTGAAGTGCTTTGACTATAAGATGCATGAACGTACTGGATGTACAAAGATTGTCAAAGCACTTGAGTTTCCTATTGACTTGAAGATTGACTCTAGTAAGTACTTGTCGAATTTATTCTAATCTTCTCCTATCGTCGACATCCAGTTCCACGTTCAGTGCAGACCACCCGCCTTCTATAAAGGCAAGCTCATCAACGTCTATAAATGATAAATTCTCCTAGTGCTGGATTCAAACACTGCACGTCTCGCGGAATTTACAATGGTATTTCTTTATAGGATCTAAGCAAAAAAACAAGTTATACTTTTACCTAATTAATGGACATTTTGATTAGCAGAAAAAGCTGGTGGATTCTATCACTACTGAGCTCTGCTGGCGAATATGGGATCTAATGTTGTTATTGTTTTGCTGCCAATTATGTAGCCAAACCTATTTTATATTGAGTTTATAAATTTAGCATTTGCTAATTTTGAAATATCAGTTCTGAATAATTGGGCAATAGAAGAAAATGCTTTGAAGATTCCTTGTCACATAAGAAGAAAGCTACCGGATCTATGAGAGTTAATATACAAAAATGCGTTTACCTAAGTGAGTCTGTTTCTCTGTTATTTGTTCTGCAGTCAATAAAGCAGTTACTTCTGTATCCTGATAATCAAGTGTACATAATTTTGTTTGCCTAAAACCAGCAATAACGTCAAGTATTTTGGCAAAAAATTATATTGTCTTTTTGGCGCCAGTTTACATCTGGCAATGTCCCTATCAATCACTTCACCAGCACAAATTGTCAATGGACGCCGTTGGCGTCACAAGTAGAATTATCAGGCGTAAAAGAAATCCCTGATGGAATCCACTTGATGGGCTTTAATGACATCAGTGGACCCATCGCTGAATAAGAGGAAATGCGCAGGCGTTCGTGACGTTGAATTAGTTATTGACTGCTCACATAGCAATCTGTCTCTAGTTAATAAACATACAGCAACGTACAGTCAAAAAATGCGTATTAGTGTTGTGAAACGCATAAAATAACGCTATGTTCACTTAATTTCTTACACAAGTCTTACTTGATACTGTTTCACCAATTTCTACACATAATAGGTAGCTACAGAATTGTGACATTTCTGTACGGTGTTATACTTCTGAATTTTTGCGATTAAAAACAATGATCTTGACAAACAGTGACATCACCCCCCGTCTCTCGATAGAGAAACATCCGATTTTGTCAGTTTAGCGTGGAAAGAAGCATTCCTTTGGAGGTGAAAGGGAGAAAGAACATGCTTGGACATTCCTGTCACTATTAATCTGCCCGGAATACTTTACTTACCTGAAAAGTGGTTTCGTCCAATTACTTACCTAGATAGTGGTTTCGTCCAAATATTTGTGTCATACGAGGTCTGTAAATTAAGTAATGATACTGGCAACGTAGCGTTCAATTTGGCAAACACTGGAGGCGCCGGGCTTGGAGGAGAGACAGGGAAACGTGTGATCCGCCTTCAGTACAAGTTTGAACTCGTTCGAGTCATTTGGTTGTTGGTAAAGAACGACTAAGAATAAATCCAATCTACTAATTTTTTTTTCTAAGGTGAGTGACGAAATCATTTTAGGTACCTATGAGTACTAGAAATATTAGAAATCGCCAAAAAGTTTCTCTTTACTGATTAGAAAATATTATGGCCTATCTCAAAGTATAGAGATAATATTCATTATATTATAGATTTATTTCTTATGATTGATTGCGTCAGTTGGTCACAAAGTACAGGATGTTAGTTTTATACATATATACAGAAAACTAACACCCTGTATTTTGTGACCGGAACGAATTGCTCGTTTAAACATATTAGATTTAAAACCATAGGGTTTTGTATTTACCATATATATTGCCATACTTTGTATTTATTTAGCTTAATAAGAGAATCTTTAGCAGAAGCCATAGAATGTTTTTATTTTTAGGCAACCTGTAAAAATGCAGAAAAAAAAACACAAATTATACAGTCAGCTTCAAATATCAAAAGAAGATAAAATAAAACCCGGTAATGAATCACAAGAGCAATGCGAAATTAATGAAAATACAGGTAAACAGAGAGCAAAACCTGCTCAGGAAGCTATGAAAAATAAGATTGCTCTACTCGAAAAAAATCTGAATGCTTTGTATTCTGCCAGAGATACTATGCCAAGCCGTGCGGAAGTTGATAAACAGATCATTAAGTTGCGCGAGGAAATAAAAACAGCAAAACAGTCTTTAAACAGGAAGGTTCAAAACGCAGTTGCCCAGAAGAAACACGGGGATGGTATGAAAAGAAAGTTAGAAGATATTTGTCATGCAAATCCAGAAATAAAAAAAAGATTATCTCTGAGGGATTCAGTGGGACGTTGTAATCTTGAAAGCAATCAACATTCACTAATTAACACAATCGCGGATATAGCTTTATTTGGGAGTGCAGCAGATGATCGAAGACGAACGGAATCAATTCGCAGCGTAAAAACTCTTGATGAACTCACACAAGAATTACGCAAAATAGGATTTGACATTAGTCGCAGTGGGACATATCTTCGTTTGATTCTGCAGAGGGACGAAGACATGTATCGACAGTCCCTGTTAAGCTCATTCGGGCTCAAACTGATCACCACAAGAGCCACTTAGATAGCAAGTTCGCTGAAACATCAATCCATTATTTAGAGAACATGGCATCCATACTTGGACCAGATCAAGTATTTTTCATATCTCAAGATGATAAAGCTCGAGTCCCTATTGGCGTAACTGCGGCAAATAAGCAAGCACCTCTTCTAATGCACATGGAATATAGAATCAAATTGCCTGATCACGATTGGGTAATCGCTGAGCGTCATAAATTAATACCATCTGTTTACGCTGGTATCAAAATCACTTCCAATATGCTAGGACAACCACAAGCCGTTGGCTATTCTGGACCAACATACATCGTTATTCGAAGTGGTAAGCATAGTTCATCTACTGCTAATACTCATGCTCAGGATTTCGAGACGCTTCTCGAACTTGAAGAGTTTCGACCATTAGCTTAAAACTGAGCATGGACTAGTAAAACCAGTGGTAATCATGACGGTTGATGGAGGGCCAGATGAAAATCCACGTTATCAAAAAGTCATAGAGTTTGCTATACAACACTTTAAGCGACATGATCTCGATGCATTGTTTTTAGCTACCAATGCTCCTGGAAGAAGTGCATATAACAGAGTAGAGCGCAGAATGGCTCCTCTTAGTCGGGAACTGGCTGGTTTAATATTGCCACATGACCATTTTGGATCTCATTTGGATGAACGTGGCGTTACAATTGATGAACATTTAGAAAGATCTAATTTCGAATTTGCAGGAAATGTATTAGCTGAAGTATGGAGTTCAATGGAAATTGATGGCTATAATGTTAATGCAAAATATGTTGGGGCAGGTGAACAAGATCTTCTTGATTTTCCAGACATTAAATGGTATTCAGAACATGTGCGTGAGAGCCAATACTTGTTTCAAATTGTAAAATGTAGAAATACAGAATGCTGTCGTCCAAGAAGTGGCCTATTTAGATTACTAGACAATAGGTTTCTTCCACCACCTGTAAAAGTAAAGTAAACAGTTGATGACTTGGTTTTGGATGAAGGAGGGAAATTTCTTAATCTTCCAGTCAATTTAGCTCCATACTTAAGTGCTTCAAAGATTTCCTGCAAATGCCCTACGATTATTTTTGTCCGACGGTAAAATTGAGGCTATCAAGTCGAACATGCAAAACGTGTGGTCTTTATCATGCTTCCGTCAAGTCACTAAATCGTCACATCGAAAATATCCATAAAAAAGTAAACATGCACACTGATAGGAAAGTTAGACCTGTAAGAGTCGCTGCTTGTCGTGCTAATGAACTGATGTGCATTATTCAAAATTTAGAGCACCATGATGTTGAATGGCTGGATGAGAACGACGTAGACATTCCAAAATCCGATGAAAGTGAGCAAACTCACAACACTGAGCTGCAATCGAAGCAATCCGATGTCATCGAAAACTTAGAATCATGGTTTCGGGTTTCATGGACTGAAGTCTGTTAATTTGAATTTAATATATGTACCAAAAATTTAAAATAAGTTTGTTATGTTAGTAAGATATAATATTTTTGTCCTTTACTCTATGTTGAATACCGTATCAGTAAAATATAATCTCTATCCTAAATCTATTTTCTTATTTTTCAAATTGTAATTATAACGTTATAATTATAATATTAAAAAAAAACAATACATTAATTGACAAATGTTTACGTAAGCATGGGGGGAGGGGCAAGAGCTTTGCTTACTTTTGCTGACAAGGGGGATGGGGGGGTAAATAATTGTAATAAATCTGCTTACGTACTACTTGAACGGCCCCTAACCTTCAGCAGGTCTACGGAGATAGTGTTTTGTCAAGGGCCCAGGTTTTTCGTTGGTTTAAGGCATTTTCAGAAGGGAGATAGTCGACTGAAGATGAACTACGAAGAACCGATGAAAATGTCGATAGAATCCGGGATCTTGTGCGTTCAGATCGTCGATTGTCAGAATGATCGGGCAAGAGTTAAATTAGACTCACACCACCGTTCATATCAGAAACAACTAGTTGTTGCATCACGATAATGCTCCTTGTCGCACAGCAATGTCAATAAACGAGTTTTTGACCAGTAAAAACATTCTTGTGGCTCCTCAACCTCGCTACTCGCTTGACTTGAGTCCTTGTGACTTTTTTATCTTCCCGAAGTTGAAAAATCACCTCAACCCATTTTGGGACAGTCGAAAACATTTAAACGGCTGTAATCCAGTATCAGAGTTCAAGCACTGCTATGAGGAGTGGAAGAGCCGTTTCCAGTGCTGTGTGGCTTCAGAAGGAAGTTATCTTGAGGGTGACAATATAAAATTGTAATTATATTTGAATGAAATGAATTTAAAAAATCAGTCTCATCATTTACTTTACAGACCGCCTACATCTCTCTTTCTATTTATCTGCCTATTTGCTAACAATGTGATTTGTATTGCAGAACTGCTGTCCTCAAAGAGCCTGACACCTAAAGAGAAGCAATACAAACTGATCGCTGTGGTGTATCACGACGGCAAAGAGGCTACGGCCGGCCACTACGTGACGGACGCTTTCCACGTTGGCTACGGCTGTTGGTTGCGTTACGACGACGCCTCCGTCAGATCGGTTTCTGAGGAGCAGGTACTCAGGCCCCAGGGGATCAGAGTGCCATATCTGCTCTTCTACAGGCGCAGCGACACCATCAGGAAGTGAGGTAGTACCCCGGTGGTGTGGAGACGGACACCTGGTGATTGTGGATCAGTTCAGGTCAAATGGCAGCACCAGATGCTGGAGAAGCTTACTCCTAGTGAAGACTTCGGGGTAACATGTAAGTTGGATCACTCGCTGGTAGAATCGGTCATTACCTACTTGGTGCAATAAATCTGCTAAGGCTAGGTAGATGTGAAAAATAATAGAAGGTGAATATGCGGATAATCTCTTGAAATCGTATACGACACAGAGATACAAGACCAGTTGGTAAGAGAAATGCTCCCCAGAGAAACATGCCTCCAATCGACGTCAGACAACAGTACTTTTTTCCAGCTAAAGGGTCAAATTTTTTAGAGATAACATTAAAGCAGATATTACACAGGGCGTAAAGAATTAATAGTAACAACACCAGAAGCTCTCGAACCCTTAAAACCCATTACTGTAAGGTGAATGATACATGTTCATTACTTACTGTACTCGGTACCATCTGCATTTATTGGTTGATACGTTAGTGCCAGTGGAATCTACGTAACCTTATATATCAATAAATATTGCCGAATCACGGTGAATACTGAACATAACATTCACCTCACAGCTTGTGTGTGTGAGAAGTAGGGCCGTATGCTTCGTTCTTCAGCTTTCGTCTGCCGCGCGCATGACGTCACTCACAGGACTCAGTCGTTTAGGAAGATTGAAAATCGTGCCCAATTTCTCCGAAATGCATTTATTTTCGAGGTTACAACAAAAGTTTAACACAGCAAGTGTTTACATTGATTTTATAACCTAGATATTGAAATTTACTTTGATTTTTGGTATTTTTATCAGGATGTAAATACTACTTTGTTTTATACTGTGAAATTAGCTCTTTAACGCTTTTGACTTGATCCTTTATGAATGTTGCGAAATACATAGGAGTTCATTGAGATATTAGGATATACACAAAAACAACAATACAGTTAAGTTTATTCATGCAGTTTATATATGCAGACACAAAGAACCATGGGTGTTCACAAAAAATATAGAAAACATTGTAGAAAAAATGGGTGTATTTCAGTATACATAATTTATTTCATAATAACTATAAATCCTGTATGCTTAACCCAAGATTTTTTTTCCTTTTTTGTTCCACGGCTACTTTGATGCTTAAAAGATTTGTAAGTTCTTTGATGTGAAAGAAACAGTAGTCATCTTGATTTTATATGGCAGTGAATATTACTATACTTCGGCAGATGCCACAGATGAAAATTGCTTATGAGTAACTATCCTATCATCATTACCTTTAAGAAACACCTGTTAAGTTCTTCAGTTTGAGGCATAAAAGTTAAATATGGATTTGTTAAACGATCCTCACTACAGGAACATTTTAACCTGTCATCTCTAGAACTTCTTTTTTTCACCATTGCTTCAGTGTAACAACTGCTGGAAATGGAAAACTCCACTTCAAACCAAACCTATATGCTCTAGGGTCAGCAGCATCCAAAACAATATTTGACATTTCACTAATTGATAGGTTATTGTTTTTGGACTGTCCATTTTTCTTATTTGGTTTTCACTAAATACTTCTTTAACCCCAGTAACAGATTACTTAACAGATCATGTTTGTTTGAATCTTAGGAAAATAATATATAAGAAATTTATGAATACATTATATCAAGTTTTCTAAATTATATGAAAATAATAATCACCCTATTTCAGATGTAGTATTTGACTTCACCAACGCTTTCATCACCATAGTATGATCTGAGAATTGGCCAGCAGAATTATCATCCTTATTTTTTATTATTTCAGGCTCAGGTACTTTTTTCACCCCTGTCATGCATAAAGATAAAATTATACATCCAAATAAAAGTTTAAGAACCCACCTGACTTTGGTCATGTCTTGCTTTTGTAAGCACCTTCCCAGTTTTCCCAGCACCAAATGTCTAAGGTTCATGTGGTGAAAGAGACGGATAAATTTTGTGTAGAAATACCAACATCTTTTAGTCCACGGTAATTTTGGATGTGATGATGTGATGTGTGATGTGATCTTACAGTTTTATAGCTTTCACAAAAATGTTTCGAACAAATTACAGCGTTTTTTATGTTAACATATCTATACCTGTGTAAAACTCAGAAAACCACCGAAAAGCCAACTATAAGCAAGGTTAGGAGAACGCAAATAATTCTGTGAGTGACGTCATAATCCGACAGGCGCGCAAGAATGACCGCAAACCATGCGCAATAGCCTTCTTCACTGTATGTGAGTGTGAAGGATAAATGTAATTCGTAAATATTTAACCCATGCTAAAGTATATGCACTAACTATTGCACCTAAGGGATCAAGTATTGTTGCGCCCAGTGAATAATCTATACATTAAAATCTCGTTTCATGTAGGCACCACTCACTTTGTAAACCGGGCATAATAGTGCATGGATTATGAATGCACTATGAATATGCGGCTTTGATGCTTGTACAATTTTTAAAAATTCGTCGAAATATTCAGTTTCGTTCAGTATTTCTCAAAAAAATTCATTTGTATCTCAATAAAAGGAGCACATCTTAAAACATTTTATAAGAACTTGATATTTATTCTTGTTTTTTATAGTACATAAATGAAAGATTGCCGAGATAATCAGAGACAGCCTTGCATGATGAACTAAAGATTTTATCACAGTGATACAATCAAAGGAACCAACGACTTACCTGTAGGAAGTTTGTTCCAGATTATATGAGCTATACTCGTCCAATTAGATCACACACGTAGTAACACCATTTATGCTTTGTCGAGCACATTTTTAAAGGTACCCCGTATACAAACAAAATACCTATCTATCTTGCGTTTCTTATCGGCCCAGGCATATGAATCATTACACTGTTGAAGTCGAACTTCAAAAGAGTAATTACCCGGGAAGGGTTCAGGGTGGGAATCTAATTGGACGAGTATAGCTCATATAATCTGGAACAAACTTCCTACAGGTAAGTCGTTGGTTCCTTTGATTATACTTCGCTATACTCGTCCAATTAGATCACACACGTAGTTATTGAAAGTAATAATTACTCTTTTGGAACTCTTGGTATTGCAAATAAATAATAATCAATGATTTCACTGTAATAGACCCACTTTTTATTGCAAAACTTATTTTAATTCAAACCATATGTATTCAAATACTTTTAATACTACTAACATAACATTCTTATTATATATATAGGAAAAAAAATGCCTTAATGTAAGGCCTATATCCCTAACTATATACTAGCTTTTATTCATTAACATAGACTCCAAAAAATTTAATTCACTTTGCAGAGGTCTGTTATAGAACCTAGCAAATACTTCTGACTTTTTCGTCCAACCAGCTAAATTCTTAATACTATCAATGTTCATTCCCGCTCTAGCAGCCGCTGACGTTGTTGCATGTCTGACACTATGGCTTTTAAATTGGTCAGTATTTATACCGCTGTTTTTCATTACATCTTTTATCCAGCGACTTATAGATTGCGGAGATGCTATATGAACAGGATTCCGATAGGTTAAAATTAAATATTCTTCGTTTCCCCTAATTGGTTGAGTTATTTCCAAATACCTAATTAATGTTTTTACAATACATAAATCAGGACGTTCGATAAATATATCAAATTTCAGCACTGGCTGTTGACGATTATAATTTGATGTTTTTAGCATATCGGTAATATAAATATCTATACCGTTCTCCCTATGTACTATATTTTTAACTTTAATTTTAGAGATAGTTTGTATTCGATGCCCAGAAGCCAACGTTAACAAAATGACTAACTTTTCTAGTGACAAGGTTTCTAATGGATACCATTTTTCAATATAATCCAATACTACTATAGGATCCCAGGTAATATTATATTTAGGAAAACTAGGTTTTTCCCGAAAGGCACCTTTCAAAAAACGCTTAATTAATTGCTCATCTGTAGATGAGATATTCAAAATTAAAGATAAGGCAGACTTATGAGCATTTAATGTGGCAAAAGAAATATCTGTCTCAAAGAGAAGGCTTAAAAAGGAGATAATATGACCAACACTTGCGACGTATGGTCTCAGTCTATTTTCCTTACAGTAAACCCACCATTTACGGAGAGTACCACTATATTGCCTCAATGTAGATTCACTTAATGATTTAATCATTAATGGTATAGCTTCTTCAGGGACTTCTTTTTCTATAAAAGATCCCCGGATAATATCGACGCCACTAGGGGTATGTTCTTCCAAAATGGATGGCTGGTTCTAAATGGAGATAAAAGTAAGTTTTTATTGGGTTTAAAAATTAAGGGTTTTGTTGACGAAAGTCTTAGAAACAAAGAAAACCATGATTGATTGTGCCAGTAGGGAACTACAAGTATTCCTCTAGATTTATCTTTAATTAGTTTATTCAAAACCCGTCCAATTATGGGAAAAGGAGGAAACGCGTAAAATTTCCAGGATTTATCCCACTTAATTGTAAATGCATGAGATGTTAAGGCTCCTGGATCTTTCAACCATGAAATATATGTATTACATTTAGCATTTATCCTAGACGCAAACAAATCGATATTAGGCTTACTATTTTAGAAAAATTCTTACTATTTAACGAATATTCCATCTCAATATTTAAAATTCTCGATTGTTCATCAGCAATTATATTATCTTTGGATGGTATATATGAAGCATATAGCATTATTTCCCGTTTTTCGCACCATAGCCATATTTGTCTACTTATATTACTCAATTTCTCAAATTGTATGCCTCCCATTTTATTTATATAGGCTATGGCCGTTTATTGTCTACACGCAGAAGAATGTTACAGTTTTTTGACTCTGAAGCAAAACACTGCAATGCATAATGAATAGCCAAAAGTTCGAGAAAATTAATGTGATGTTTCATATCTTCTTGATCCCAAAACCCATGGGTAACTTCTGTATTACATGCAGCGTCTGTATAAATTTCGTAAGCATATTCTTTACTACCCAAATCATTAAAAGATGTGTCTATTGTCTGTTTCCACCACAATAGTTCCCTACAAATAATCTTTGATACTATAATTTTAGAATTATAACTTCTAAATACTCTTTAAACTCAAAAATTTTGCTCGTTCTAATCTCTTAATATGCAACCATCCGTATTGTACAACCGGACAAGCTGAAACTAACAATCCAATAATACTTGATAACTCTCTTATTTTACATGTTCTCTTCCTAACAAAAGTATTAATTGCATTTAAAATTGCCTGTTTTTTATGTTTGGGAAGATAAAATGTCATGTTCTGACTATTGTAAACATATCCTAAATATTCACAAACTTGACTCGGGTCAATTTTTGATTTTTTAAAGTTTATTAAAAAACCCAATTTTCTCAAAGTGGACAACACTATAGCTATACTCTTATCTACTTCACTTTTAGTTTTTCCTAGCAGTAAAATATCATCCAAGTAAATTATACCCAGGATTCCGAGTTGCCTAAAATAATTAAATATTGGTTTTAAAAGCTTAGTAAAAACATAGGGTGCCGTAGATAAGCCCATAGGCAAGAAATTAAATTCAAGCAGTTTTTCCGCAAATTTAAATCTAAGACATTTCTTATCTGTATTATTTATTGGTATCATATAATATGCATCTTTTAAATCGATTGTAGCCATGTAGATATTTCGAGAAATTAAATCTTTAACAGATTTATAATTATCCAATTTGAAATGAGGTGCTTTTAAGGACTTATTGAGATACTTTAGATTTAATATAAAACGTTTTGTTTTGTTGGCTTTTGGTATAAGAAAATAGGGAGATAAAATTTGGGTCTCTACTGGTTGACATTGACTGATTACTCCCTTATTCACTAAATCCAAGATGGCAGTGGAATAGTGTCTTATCTCATCTTCCTGCATTTTCTTTGGAAGATAACTATATTGAAAAGGATTTTTGAAAAATGGCATCTTATATCCCTTGACCCACGACAAAATGGTCTTATCCTGAGTAAATTGCAGCCAATTTGCCATATAATGTTTTATTCTGCCACCATATACACTGGTACCCACCTCTATTTCTGGTAATTGCGTCTCTGGTACACTTTGTCGTGGCCATCCTTCCCTTGGGCCCGGTCTCTTCCTTGAGGGCGACCTTTCATTCTTCCTTTGTGGAAGTGAGGCTGGTAGTTTAAAGATACCGAAGGTCTCTGCATGAGGTTACCTCTGAAGGACTTATCAGGAAAAACGTTATTTGAGGTAGATGGCAGCTGTCTTGACGAAGATGGATGAGCATTCTTCATTTCTTTCCCCGTTCTCCATTGGGCCTTAACCTCTTTGAATTTATCGGCAAAATTTCTACCACACAAAAATTCGTCAGGTTTACTTTCTCTGACGATTTTCTTCACTGTAGAGTTTAAGTGCCCTTCTACGTGATATTTCCGGTTTGTGGACATCATGTGGAAAACGCCACACAAAATTTTGCCACCGTCCACCACACTGGGTAACATTTTGGATTTAAAAACCATCGAGGCTGCATCCGGTGCTGCTACATCTTCTTTCAACATACCATCAATTACCCCTGCGATGGCAGCCAGTGCTACGCCCACATGCTTCTGAATAGTAGAAACATATTTGTCCTCTTTTTTGACAGGATCGCCTAAGGTTGCTTCCAATTCCGGGTTCAACAAAGGGGCTCGTAAGTAAGGAATATTTTTGGGAATCAGGTATTTTTTGTCCAACTCCTCCTTGTCCGATTTCTCTAAACCTAATGTCACGTACTTGGTCCATCGATCAGCCAGAGATTTGTGAACCTCGCTTCCTAATACTGGCTCACTTCCCGACGGAATTTCGCCCAGGAGTCTGAGAATTTCCGGATTTTCATCTTGAGATTGTTCTTCAACTACAGGAGGAGACCTCTCTGCCTCATTGATTATGACTTCTGGCTCTAAATGTGTATACGTTTGTCCCGTACTATATACACTGCTTATACTTCCTGATGAATCAGAATCCGAGCTGGATTCACCTAAAAAATATTATACAGTCCTCACCTACTTGCGCATGCAATATCCTTAACATATTCTGTAGAATATGTCCTGGGTTTAACGGTTTTACCCTATTTATATGTTTTTCACGTTATGTGAAAACTGCAAAAGGCTTTAACGGTTCTAGCCCATTCTTAATACATTAGGTTTAACGATTTTACCTAAAAACAACTTACTAGTGCTCTTACACCTATCACCTCGCCGACTTTTCTTGTCAATTTTCTCTAAACTCTTAATTAGTTTTCGCCGTTTTCTCTCCAATCTTGCAGCATCACTACTTGTTTTTCGCTTCGGCATTTCACGAATTTCCACCAAAATGTAAATAAACCGGTCCGTACTCGACGAAGCACAACAGTGTAATGATTCATATGCCTGGGCCGATAAGAAACGCAAGATAGATAGGTATTTTGTTTGTATACGGGGTACCTTTAAAAATGTGCTCGACAAAGCATAAATGGTGTTACTACGTGTGTGATCTAATTGGACGAGTATAGCGAAGTATAATTTATATTTTATACCGTGAATTTTGCTTGTTGCTTGTCCTGCTATTGCGCGTAACTGAGTTTTGGGATCTCTTGTTCAAATTGTTCAAAAATGTATATTCGGTACTACGATCAGATACTTTTGAAACTGGCAAGTGTGTATTTGTAACTTTGTCGCTTATGAAACTAGAATGTGGTTAAGCAAGGAGTGTTTTCCAATTTATCTCATCCAGCTCACGTTACTGGTTTTTTGATATTTTGAGAACAGCCAACAGATTCCAAAATCGAAAATCTGTGAAGGAAACTGATTAGGCCCAAGATTGCCAGTGGCCTTATTGAATATTTAACTTTGGATTTTGGTGTCAGAATGCTGTGCATACGATACATATGCATGTAGATGCATGGCGTTGAAGTTACGTCCTTTTTTAAGCACATTCTTTTGTCAATAACAGCAAATATTGGGCAGGACAAGGTGGCTGTTTATCCACTTGGATGTTAGGCGATTTCTCAACTCATAAAATGGTTTATAATTTTTTACACGAACAATAAATCTATTTGGTGTATCTTTTTGTACCCAATTACACAATTACATTCATCGATATACAACGGGGTATTCCAAAAGCAGAATAACAGAAATTTTTACTTTTGAAATGTAAAAGCATTGTTTTTTTTTTGAAGTTTTTATCTAGCGTTATGCTGCTTCTTTTAGAATACCGCTGGGATGAAGTTTTGCTGCCTGATTTAACAAACTATGTGATTTGTCTAATACTGGAAGTTTTGTAAATTTATGTTATAAGCATTTGTTTTATTATCGATACCTTATTTATTTTTAGCATTTTTTTCTGTTTTAAATCTGCGTTGTTCTTCCTAATGAATCAGTTTGGTTGGATCATCATAATTATTGTAGTGATGAATTTCAGAACAAATTCTGGAAGCTCGTAATTTTCAACATGATATACGAGTATCATGTCTGAGTCATTTGAGCTTCCATATGAATAATCTAGTATTTTAATAAAACAGATCTTTATACAGATTGGTGAAATTTTTACTTGTATATATATAGCGAAACATTATTAACGTATGTTATGAAGTGGAGAAAAATAAAGTTTGTAATTTATATAGATGGAGTTATTTAGAATTAGTACCCAATATTACGAGTCATCACACATTGGTGCATGTTTGTTTGAAAAGTTGATGTTAGAATCTAAAGATTGGCGTCAAGTAGGTTGACTCTGCATTTCTCATGCAATGCTATCATCACTTCATAAAGGATTGTGTTCAGTACAAGTTAGATCCTCTGAGAAAAAAGTTAGTTATAAACATATATCACAGAGAAATTAAATGGATCAATTTAGTCAAACAAACCTACACAATTAGTCCATACACATTCTTTCCCTGCCCTACCGGTAGACCATCTGGCAACGCCGCCAACTTTCGATACCTGACGACACAACGCGGCAGTAAGGCTAGAACAGTTATTAAGACCGACACCCTTGCTGGTGACAGCAGAAGCAGTGACGCGAATCGTAACCATTTCTCAGTTTTAAGGACAAATGTAGGGGGAAATCTATGGTGTGTGAAGTATGTATATCTAATAGGTGCAAGGAATTACCAATGTTGGGAGCGTATAAACATACTAAAATAAAAAAATTGAGATAACCCCCTACAACCCCCCTCCCCCAATTTTGTAATCCAAAAAACACAGTTTGAGCAATCCTTATTTTTGGCATTTTTCTCGACCGCCACTGGACCGATTTTCAGAAACTACAAAGCTTTTTTCTCCTTGTGTGAAAATTTCAATAAAATCCAATCGGTAATTTCCAAGTTACAGAGATGGGCCAAGGATTAGCGGGCAAGCAGATCGACGAAAATAAGTGACATGGTTTTTCATGATATATAACATCCAAAAAACCTAATATCCCGTTTCGAAACTTTTCGTGATTACAATACTTCCTCGTCAGCGGGCGTGGGAACTAAAAGCTAGCCTCCTAAGAGAATCAGTTTGAAAAACAGTTGACAGTGCATGGGTGAATATACAAAAATTGGGTAACTTTAGACATATTTTGTTTACTATAGTTTTCAAGTCAGATGTCTACAAATTCGGGTATTTAAGACAGATAATCTAATGAATATATTTTTCCAGGGTAATGACGAAAATAACATAGGACTGACAAAATGTACAGTTTCATAGAAAACATGGAATTTATTAAACTTTGAACAAATATCTTCGCATCTAATAACTGCACGTCTTATAGTTATAGTAACTATTAACAGTAAGTTAATAGGGATCTGGTGACAAATGGAGCAGTTTTCAAAAACTTTTCACAACTATATAAAACACTCATTCTTTCTTTCCAGCTACTTGACGACTGTTAGCATCGTCGTATCAAAATTGCCAAAATCAAACGTTGCACTTTAATTATTTTTTCTTTTGCAAGTTTATGTCCGCTGTTTTTGTAAGTCACTGCTCTGTTTTGTATTCACCACAGTTTGTATTTGTCTATTACATTTCCAGATATAGTTTGTTTGAACTGTGTCTTTTTTCTTTATGACTTTTTGTTTTAGTGTGTAAAAGTGGTGGTGAGGCGAAGTCTAAGCACTAGGTCTCCTTTGACCCTTTTTGCCGACCCCGTTTTACCAACACTGTACTACTCCACAAGCGAGCTCCTAATAACTAATTATTGATTAAACTAGCTCCAGCACTGCAATGTACCTATGTTGATCTTGCACCGATCTGGTGATTTTTCTTTTAGTGTATATATAGTGTATAATTGTATTTTAATAACTTCGCCTTCTTCACTAATTCCTTTTTTTTAGTTATAACTTCACTCACTTCAATTATGTTTTTTTTTGCGATTTTTCAACAGATTTTATAATTCTCTTTAACTACTTTTCAACTCGTCTGGGAATGAGTACTAAGTTCAGTGCAGAGTTTTTTTAATTGCTTACTTCTGGACTTCCTCTGTCTGTCGATACTCTTTTCTGCTTCTTTCACCCTTTGGTCTGTGCTAACAATAGGTCTGTTTTCTTCAGGAACTGGTTGTATTTTGGTCTCGGTATTTAGAGGAGTATTCTGATGTATAAAATTGCTCTAAAGCTTTTCTTTGCCCTTTATCTTTTTTAAGTATTGCAACCTTTATTTTTCTTTGTATTTAGCTAATTTAATGCAGTCGCTTTTAATTCGGCTTTTCTTTTCTTCTTTAATATATATTCTTTAGACAAATTCTGTTTTTTTTTTTCAGGAGGTTCCAAGTGAAATAAGTAAAAGAAATAGTTAAACACAGTTGCAGTTAAGATAAAAGTGATCTAAACAAAAAAAATCTGTACCATGGATGCCCGTCAGTCCATTGACGCAATATTAATGGATTGAAGAAACATATGTAACCGAATCATTATACAAAATTGACAGTGTAGCACTAATGCTAAATAAATCTTCAACAACAACAAAAAGGGCTGACGCCAAAGTACTGACGAAAATGACCTTATTTTGAGATTATAATTAGAACTAATGTTTATTTTGGTATTTTCAAATACTAACAAGCTATAGTTTAACATATAGTTAACTACGAGCCCCTTCCAACTTCAGTTAGCCCACTTCAAGATTTGTACCAAAATATGCCTTTATAAACTAAACATGACGAAACTATTTACTTCTAAAACAATTTATTTACTCTAAAACATTTTAGATACATTCTAGTCGTAAAAAATACATATTTGAAATCACTTAGACCTATAACTAATAGAACATCTGAACAAATTAACAATGTGCGAATAAATGCGCGAAGTTAACAAAGCAACAATTGAAAGATTACCATTGGGTAACATCACCTTTATTTTTTATTACGGCTGAAATTCTGGTGCTAACCAAGTTTTGCCAAAAATTTGGTGTAAAACAATCCCATATTTCTTGAAGCGTTTGTCTCAGTTCGGTGATTGTACGAGCATTATGTTTTCGTAAAACCTTTTTCATCTCGTGCCACAAAGTTTCCATAGGTGACAGATCTGGACTGCTAGAAACCCATTTCAAAAGTGGTACATTATTTTCTTCAATCCATTTTATAGCCTTTTTTGAGGTATGGCACGCTGCACCATCTTGCTGAACCACAAAATCTTGGCCGGATGTCAAACATTCTTCCATCACTGGTAAAAGCGATTCTTCTAAAATTGCCAAATTTTTGTTTGTATCCACATTTCCATCAACAAAATGAAGTTTTCCTACTCCTTTTGATCACATACTGCCCCAGACCATAATGGATGCTGGAAATTTCACTTTCAACATGGAATGCTTCATTTTTTTGCGAATAACTCTACAGCGACTGTCACCAACACAAACTTCGAATCGGGCCTCATCACTCCCTTGTATTGCACACCATTGTTGAGGTGTCCATTGTTTATGTTCTTTAGCCCATCTAAGCCGATTTTTCTTTTGCGTTGGAGTTAATAGTGGCTTTTGTTTGGCCTATAAACAAATTGTGCAACTTTAGGGTTTTTACTTCACTTTTTTTTATAGGAAAACTTACCTTGCAAGTGCTAAATCCCAGTTTGTGGGCCTCTCTATGAGTTGTGGACCTTGAAATTCTCCTTCCAACAGCGGCACTCCACAGAGCACTTAATTGTAAATAATTGGCACGCCTGTTTTTCACGATAATTCTTTTTAATGCTCTTCGGTCGGCATTTGTGATATTACTTTTTTTCACATATCGTAGCTTAATATTAACTGAACCAGTTACGTTATATCTTCTAACGATATTTCTCACACTGTACCGCGATAAGTCTAACAAAGTTGCAATTTCTGAGTTTGATTTCCCAGAATTAAAAAATTTAATTATCAGTAACCGAATTTTCTCACTAATAACCTTTCCTCTAACCATTTTGAAAACCTTAACTACCCAAAACTATTTTAAACGTATTCTGACAGCTGTGATTAATAAAAACAATTGTCATGGCTTTTATTTTTCACAGCCACCTATGCGTTATAGACTTATTTTGCATTGAAATGAAAATAGATTGATATGCTGTAATTGCAACTTGTGTTATTTTTATGCTGCAAATTTGATTAGGGAGTGATAAAGTTGGTGTTTTCTACTATATATTATCAAAATTTTCATTGTTAATATTTTAAACCTATAACACCCTGCTACATTTTTATTATTTGTGTTTGATAAGAAAAAAACTAAGATTCCAATAGTTGGGCCAACTGAAGTAGGAAGGGGCTCGTACGTATGAATCAAAATAAAACTGATGTTTGTAATGAAACATCGCCTCACTACAGTACTGATATTTTGACTGGATGGGCACGTGTATTCATAGTAACCACAACTCTAGCACTGGCTCAGTATAAACAGCTGTCAAATGGCGCGGTCTGCAGCGCTGTTTACTACCGACGTTAAAATTTAACCGGGATGCAATCTCGAGTCGGTGATATGTTTGGCGAGAATTTTATATTTGAGCAATACACAACGGACTGACAAATGAAACTAGACACAAAATTTCTTATTTTTTTATAACTAATGGTGGGAATATTTTATTATGACAGGTGTACTATACATTATTAAGTACATCACCGATTGTAGTGAAATAGCAAGTTTTCTTGAATTAATGGTAATGTTTAATAGACGGCCACTTGATTGTATGTTTTTGGGATTGTGACATGCCAAAGGACCGACGTTCTGAGGATTTTTTGTATTGTTTCAAAAACTTGTATTCAAAATAAATCGCTGCAATTGGGCGACCAAATAAAAGACTTTCAGTTGATTTAAAATAAAAATAAATATAAACAAAATTTAATAAAACTTCATATCCATTGATTGATGACATTGAGTTACCCATTTTTGGTAGAACCACCCTCATGTAAATGAATTCCTAATAATCTAATGAATATTTATTCTATTTCTGCCAAGTTAGTCATATATCAAAATTGTTAAACCATGGACTAGGTGCGAGGAACTACCAGGTTGGGAGACTATAAACATACTAAAACCAATAAAGTTGAGATAACCTTCTCCCACCTCCAACATACCCCCCCCCTCCAATGTTGTAAGCCTAAAAAATTACAAAATTGAACAAAATAATCTGAAATATTACAAAAAAAAACAGTTTGAGCAGTTTTTTTTTTTCATTATTGGCATTTTTCTCGACCGCCACTGGATCGATTTTCAGACACTACAAAGCCTTTTCGTCCTTGGCATTGCAGTACCTTGTGTCAAAATTTAATCAAAATCCGACTGGCAGGGGTATTATGTAAACAAACTTCAAAAAGTCGAAGAAATGTCATCTTGCAGACTAGGTAATTTTTAGTGTGCAAATAGTTAATTCCACGTTTGCTCGCTATGATCGCTCTTCGCTGACCTTTAAGCAACTCGTACAGCTACAAAACGGGTTCACAAAAGGTGTAAAACAGTTTGTGCTAAGTTAACATCTTGTAGAAAACGCTACGTTGTCACAAAAAACCTTCGAATTGTCAAAAAAACGTCAAAATGTCACTTTTCAAGATACGTAATACCCGTGCGGTACCTTCCAAGTTATAGATGAAACAATGATTAGCAGTCAAACAAACCGAGGAAAATGAGTGACATGGTTTTTCATAATGTACATATAATATCGAAAAAATATAACATCTCATGTTCGAAACTTTTCGCGATTACATACAATATTTCCTCGCCAGTAGAAGTGGGAAGTAAAAGCTAGCCTCTTAAGAGAATCAGTTTGAAAAACAGTTGACATAGTCATGTAAGTAAATATCAAATAATCTAGTCAATATTTATTCTATCACTGCCTAGTTAATCATATATCAAAATGGTAAAAAAATATTACTATGGACTATATTCCGTGGAGTGGAGGAAATGATTTGTGGTAGCCTATGTTTGAGTTTTTTATATTCATCGTATTAATTACTAAACAAATATTTGAGTGAGTAATTGTTTTCTGCTAACATGCACATTTATTATTATTAATCCACTATATTAAAATTATAAACATTGCAACGTATATTTCGACTAAGCAAGATCTATTATCACAATTGACTTCAGGCAAAATGTAAAAAAAATCAACAGGAAAAATATAAGGCTTTGTTGAGCAAGGTATACTTTGCAGCAACCTTTGACTATACGACATTATAGGGAAAAATATGTATTACTCTGTCTACTTATCCATAAAAATACAAAATTTTAATCTTTATGTATATATATATATATTTGTAGTTGGAAGTAGTATACCTTGAGTGACCTGAAAAGCTGAACGTTCTCTGACTAGAAACTATTTTGAGCCAGCATAAACGTAGGATAACTATCGGTCACGTCTTTCAGCTGTTATTTTATCGATACTGAAGATTTGATCATTTTATGGTGACAAATCGCAGCTACTGAAAATGGACCTTTCCCCACATTCGTCATTCCAAATCCACTGTCAAGAAAATAGGGAACTACACACCCGATTCTTAAAACTACAAGTCAAATAAATAAGTTTCCTAATGATCTAGATGACACAAAGGCGTGAGAAGACTAATAAAAATATATATGCTGACAATTTGTAAAGCCAAGGCTTATTTATTTCCCTATATCTATATGTGCGCAATTATAGTCCGGTCGAATTATGGTTGAAGTGGCTATTATGAATCACTTTTAAACACATACTGGGTGCCAGTCAAGCGGTTACCGGTTCATTGAAAAAAAATTAAAAGTACCAAAATATTATCGACAAAAAAACGGAGACCAGGATGTTAAATCAGTAAATGTCTGGCTCACTTCAGTGTTCAGGATCCGGGATCTTGTGCGTACAGGTTGACGGTTGACAGTCAGAATGATTAGGGAAGAGTTAAATTTGACTCGCACCACCGTTCATCAGATCAAGAACAACTGGGTGTTGCATCACGATAACGCTCCTTGTCACACAGCAGTGTCAATAAACGAATTTTGGCCAGGGAAAACATTCCTGTGGCTCCTCAGCCCCATTATTCGCCGCCTGACTTAACTTGTGACTTTTATCTCTTCCTGAAGCTGAAAAATCATCTCAAGGGAACTCATTTTGGGTCAGTCGAAAACATTTAAACGGCTGTAACCCACCAGCTGAAGGCTATTCCAGTATCGGAGTTCCAGGAGTGCTATGAGGAGTGGAAGAACCGTGTCCAGCGCTGTGTGGCTTTAGAAGGAAGTTATTTTGAGGGTGACAATATAAAATTGTAATTATATTTAAATTAAAAACGGTAATTCTCATACTTAATTTACAGACCTCGTAATATCTAAAAAAAGAATCCCGATATGAAAACTGAAAAGTTTTTTTTTTCTAGCGAACATTAGTTTTCAAACACTAGGATATTCTAAAATCGTATCATTCGAAACATCTATCACTAATCATTTCCAAACCAAAATCGACCGGACTATAACCTGCAAATCCATATCCATCCAATAAATTAATAGTAATAGGAGACGGAGGACGGTTTGTGGTTTAGGTGGTGATGTTCTAGAGACGACATCTGGGCTTCCCGTTCCATCGAGATGAGAGACACCCCGCCGGCGATTGAACCCCCTCCTCCGCAGATGCCAGGGTCGTCCAGAGGATCCGCCGCCGCTGCGTCGCTGCTTGTCATGGTAGCGCGTTGGAAACTGAACGGCCACGTCTGGAAGAGAAAAAAGTGTCAAGTAGATTCACTCAACGCTTCCCTCGCATCCAAATTTCCGCAATTGTTTTATTTGTTTATTCGCTAATGGGAACAAAATTGTACATTAGCACGTTAATTAAAAATTAATATACAATGAAATGTCTGAAAAAATGAACATATGAATTACACAAATAGAAATATATACAACATATGGTTTAACGCGTATAACAAATGGTTTTCCATCTGTGTGACCATACCCGCTATGTTTGCTTTCCGTTCGTCTTTCTCCAAGACTAGACAAATACCGTCCTGATGAGTTGCTAACGAGCACGAAACAGTGCTGTCTGCGGTTGGCCATGGTTACAGAGACAGAAATCAACCATGTCCATTTCAACCTGTATCCATCTATGCATGCAATATTTAGTATTTCGACTCCTCGACGGGTTGACCGTAATGGCGGTGCGACATCTATCTGTGCATAGCGCAGAACATCGAGAGAGCCAGAGACGCATTGGCAGATGGCGATCGTCACATTTTCACCTACTTGATCACAAACAATACACATATGGTAAGGTTCAAATTTGGCGTGCAATATGTATGCTAGAAAGGGTGCGCCGGTGGCATCGTGACCTCGTACTCGGGTTGCTAGGCAACGAGATGCTTCTATCTCTTTCTAACACACGTGTTGCACCCTTCTTGCGCTTCTCTCGTACACATTACGACGTCAGTGGTATTTGGTTTTCAGTCTATACGCACACGGTATAGATTGAAACGAATCATATAAAAACTCCTCATCGCTATACCGCCGTACTTACGTAAAAGGCAGTAAAGTGTAAAAATCGAAGTCTGAGAAAATCGAGTTCAAAATTCTGAGAATTTTCGAACTTACTGAATAGTATTACGACAGAACAAATAAATGAGAGTTATTTAAATGTAATTTCGGATCATAATTATTCTTGAGGCCTAAGATAAACGACATTCCGTCTTTAATAGTTGTAAATCAAAAAGCAATAACATGTGATTCACTGCTTTTACATATATACTCTGCGAAAACAAATTTACTTCTTTTTTTGTAGTTTTCATAATCCATTTTCATATTGAAATTCACACAAAAGTAGACCTCAATATCTAATAATTAATAATAATAATAATAATAATAATGTCTTTATTAATCCCTCCACACTGCGAGGCGAAGTTTAGCCAGCTGGCTACTCTACCACTTAACCTCACATTTGATTACATTTAATAATTACATTCAACAAAAATAATTGTATAAACAAATTAAAAACAGTTTGTTCTCTTATAAGTTTATTTTTCAAAATTATTATTTCGGAGAAAAAGTAATTATTTATAACAATGCATACTTATCCACAAATAATTACTACATAAAAAACTAAATGTGTAAACGTCACAATAGGTTATAAAAGGATAAGAAGGCAGAACTTGTATCATACAGAGAATAAGAGCCGTATAGTTTGAAGAATACTGCTTTTTTGCTGTGATAAATTGATTTGCTGCTTTTATACTTAGGAATGTAGTTAATATGAAATATATTTGACAAAGTGAAGAACTAGCTACTTTTGTTAAATAACGTGTTCAATGTAGGTGGACTCTGCACGCAATGCCGCTATCAGTTCAGCACAAACTAGGCCCTCTGAGAAAAAGGTCAGTCAAACAGGTTCATACAATTAGTCCACAGACATCCTTTCCCTGCTCTACCGGTATTGCATCCGGATGCGTCGCCTCTATTTGATACTTAACCCGGTCAGACGTAGCAGCGCTTTCAGAGCATAGGAAACACTATGCTGTGGCGCGGCAGAAATACGTATAATACCATATAAGATCAACAGAACACTCACTAAGGCCAACGGCACGCCGCTGAGAGCAGTAGCCGCGGCCAGTAGGTACGCTATCCGTCTGCTGAGAAGTTAGAGAGAGTTTGAGGGATAATGTACGGAGAAGTCTCTGATGTGTGAAATGTCTAGTAAGAGCATCGAATTACCAAAGTTCGGAGCGTATAAATTATTAACATCAACAAATTCCGATAGACTCTCCGCACCCTCCTAAAACTCCCACCTTTAAGATTCTTTATTTCAAAAATGATCTGGATACTCATCTGAAATCGCAAAAACATAGTTTGAGCGGTTTTTATTCTTTTTCGTTTCAGGCCTTTTTTTCTGCCGCCGCTGGACCGATTTTCAAAACCTACAAATTTTTTGCTTTGTAGTAACATTGTCTAAATATTTTATGGAAATCCTAGCGGTACTTCTTGAGTTACAGGCGGTTATAAGATTAGCGAACAGACCGACGAAAATGAGTGACATGATTTTTGTGATGTACTATACATGTCATGCACAAAAAATATACTTCCCCGCCAGTAGGCGTGGGAAGTTAGAAGGCAGTAAATGAACCTTACTGCCTTTTATGTACGTACGGCAGTATACTATAGTATACTCATGGCATAAGCAGATCTATGACACTTTCTTTATACCTGTCTGAATGGTGGTGGGTAGTTTCTAAAATAAAATGCAATTGAATGTAGGGGAATTTTCAAATTTTCATGTTCTATAGTTTCTTCACATATTCTTTGAAGCTGTATTAAACATCTAATTGAGTGTCATTATTGATATAAATATTTTTTTGGTTACATGCTAAGTACTCGGACACTGGAACAAATTTCTAAATTATTTAAAACTTAAACATTTTTACACTACTCGCAAAAAATTTCAGCAGGTTGAAAAACTTATAAAAAAACTCAGTTCGTCGAATATTTCGTTTTTTATGTTTTGCTTAGTAGCGCCACCGCCACTATACCGAATTGAGAAGATAAAGCAAGGCAATCTACCTGAGATACTATCGTATCGCTTTCCAAACTTTAAAATTCGCTGCTACAACGAAGTAATAGTTCATCCGATTTCCGACATGGTCAAGTGAGATTATCTAATGGTAAACGCATCATGGAGCGTATAAGCAATATACAAACTAATATTTCCCAAAAAACGGTTAATTTACGAAGTAGACATTATACAAAATTAACATTATTTTCAATGCTTATGAAGAGAGAGATTATGAAAAATGCGTTTCCCTTTGAAAACATTGACCTTTTGGGTGTTCATGAATATAATTATCATTCTCTTTCTTGAAACTTCCCATGACGATGTTAAAAGACAGCTAGAACACATACTATTTCTAAGTCATCTTTCTCTCCTATTTCCAAAGTGAAAATTTAAGATTATTATTTTCTGACAGTTTCTCTCTCTATTTCTCCTATAATATCATATTTAAAAATGAATATTAATTAAACCACGAGTGAAAATTGTATTCATAAGCTGTCATTTTGTTTGAGATGTTCCACGCTGTTTGTGACTATAAAAGAAATTTTACTGGCAATAAATCCCTGCGAACGATGGAATTTTATTTGTTAGCAGAGGCATCAAGCAGGACGGATGACGTGCGGCTCCTCTCCGTAGAAATGCACCAGCTGGAAACATTTGTCGGTCGGCCTCCGTCTAATTATTCGAACTGTTTGAGATGTTTGTTTTAGAGAAGTGCTGCTCTCCGACAACGTCTCATCTTTCCTGGCACGCTAAAATTAATACGGAAACGACTCGCGTCTGTTTTTGTTTGACGCTTTTTAAGAGGGTGTAATTGCTTGGATGACCACAGTTCCACGAGTGTTGGCAAGAATACGTGTCCTTACCTTACCTCATTATTATTTCTTGTCTAATTGTGTCTAAACTAATGTACAATTGAGAAATTGCAAAAAGCAACTACAGTAACTGAAAGGAATGAATTTTTAATTGTACTATATTACAGTATTGTGCCTTAGATGTAAAATTCTTACGTTAACAAGCATATCACTGATAACCTTCGCGTCTTCTGTTAAAGGGGAAGTTACTGTTGCATTGCAGGCTAAGTGCTGTCGTCCTTAAGCAGCTTTACGAATAGAAACAGTATTGGAGTCGACCCTTGGCGGCACTCGCGTTTCCACCATGGGATGCTAAGCACCCCAGGAAGGTCATAGGACAGCAGTATATCATATTGTCCTCTTCTGGTTTCGTCTATCTGAACCTTAAGTTGCACATATTGACCAAATTTGTACTAATCTGGCTAGGGTAGTATATGCAATACGCAAAATTGCATATATTATCGATACGGACTCTGCCCGAACAGCATACTATACAATGGTATGTTTAACTCTCTATTGAACTATGGAGCGCTTAGTTCGGGGAATGCCTTACAGTCTCAGTTACAGAAATTTTTTCTGATTCAAAAGGCAGCAGTTCGTAATATTGTTAGAGCTAAGCACGATGAACACTGCCGAGATGCCGAGAAATATTCAGAAGCCTTAAAATAATGACAGTATTTGCAGTTTTACTATATCAGAATTTAATTCATGTGGGAAAAAACTTGTGTGATTACTGCGCTCTATCCGATATTCACGGCTACAATACACGAGGGAAAAACAAAATACTGCCTCCAGGAAATAGAATTAATGTAACCAAAAGCCTTGGAGTTGAATATTACAATAAACTTCCTGAGAGTGTTAGCGGACTGCCGTTGGAGCTTTTCAAAAGGAAGGTCAAATCAATTTTGATTGACATAGCGCCATAGAATGTTGACGATTTTAAATTGTGCTGTAGAAACGTTTCTGTTCCCTAGATTGTTTCCAGTTTTTAATTTTTATATTTTTAATATGTTACTTATGTTTCTATATTCATGTGTACAATTCTGGTGTTATAATTTTAATATGATGTCAAGCCTGGTATAATTTGTCATTTATATGTGTATGAATTTTAACTGTTTTTATAATGGATTATTTATTTTTATGTAATGTCATTGTACATTCTCTGGCTCAATAAATATCTATCTATCTATCATGTTAGTTGTCCATCACCTTCAGTAAGCTATTGGAAAACGAACCGCTCTGTATAATGCAAAATACGCGTCAATCATGTTCACATACATGAAATGAATGAAAATATCTGGGAGTATTCAACCCGAGAACACGGCTAGAACACGCCTATCTAAAAAGAGTATAATACTGACTAAATTTTATGAATTGTTCCCTTTTCTGACACTGTATTCCAAAAGGGTAAAACGTGAAATTATTATACAGCGTGTCAATAGTTTTCATTTCTTGCACCCCCGTAGACAAACGAGGTCAAAGGTGATATAAAAAAATGGTTACCCAACAAAATGGTAACCCAACGCAGAAAGGCACCAGATTTATGTACAATTGGACTAAGAATTTTATGAATTCGCACGAGAATGAAAAATTAAATTGTCAGTTTGAAATTCAAATATGTTGCTAACCTCAAATCGACCAAATGCCATTTTCATTATAATCCATTTATTACTTGACTGCCTCAGAAGGAAGGTTACCTTATTCGTCCGTGGATGTTTGTGATTGATGGATTCTGACATGAGTAGTCTCTAGATTTGTCTTGACAGTGGGACTGAAACTTCAACTTTGACATTTCTATTGAAAGAAGACAGCACAAAGTTCCAACTATTACCAGAAGTATATAGTAGATACGGTCTACTCGCCATTGCACAAGCCTACACCATGCCAAATACCACGAAACAGCTGTCTATGGCTGGCCGTTTCTGGTCCGACGAACGAAAGCTATGTATATTTACTACTAGTTTGTTCAATGGGGAGTAGGCCGTATATGTTATAGTGCCAGCATCGGCGGCCTATATCCGCCACCTTCGCAGTGGTCGATTCAAGTAACAGATGGCACTTTGTGCTGTCTTATTCTTCTATGCTTCTATAGACACCCTACACTCTGAATAAAGTTGCAACCCTAACAAAATTCGATATTTTTATTTTCATCAATCGTGAACTTATTGTATATCAAGATTTACTAACTCTATATTTGATTGTCCAGAAACAGGTTATAATATACCACCATTCACTAGAATCAATTCTTTGATTTAAATTCAAAAAGTAGGGAAAGAGATATCTGAAAATGAACAAGGCCACTTGACCATGGGTACAAAAATGGTATTTTTATTTCCAATAATAAAAGAATATTGAACTCGCACGCATTCAACGCATTTACATATACAGGGTGACTTCGAAGTTGAGTCATTTATTTTAACAGTGAGTAGATCTGATCAAAAGAAATGTTTTTTTCCTTTACCATTTTTCTGGTAAAATTAAAGTAACAAAGTTATAGCCCTTTGGAAGTTTGAGTACCGCCCTGTCTCAATAACATCATGTGCTGGTGTTTGGCAACAACGGATATAATCCAACTTATCGGTTCATCGCATCGGAAACAAAAAAGCGAAAGAATTTGGAACGATGTTTACTTTATTCAGTTCAGTTATACATACAATCACTGTCAGTCGCGTGTGAATAGTATCTGTTGCGTGGCTCAAACGAAATAAAAAATGGCACATGTTTATGCGGATCGGTTTCCCAATCGAGTGCAACCAACCCCTCGTGCCTTTGTTAATAGTAGTACAACGGGCTCGTGAATCAGGTGACTTCAGACCTCACAGGGGACCTCACGATCAAATACAGGTCCGCACTGAAATACTTGTCGGGAGGATACTTTATAAAACAAGGTAAAATTTTTTTTTTTATTTTTTTTTTATTTTTACACACATATTTTGGTTTATCTTCCTTCTACAATCATTATCTGAAAATTAATGACTCAACTTCAAAGTCACCCTGTATAAACAAGTTCGACAGCACGTTAAACAAACTAGGATATTTTCAAATACTACAAAGTCTGCACCAACAGGAGACTCCACATCCTATACATACAATATAAAAACATTACATCAAGCCTATGTTATGCACATGTTTAGTATAAATGCACTTTATTGACCGAAAGTTGGCTACATAAATAAAATTTCAAAATTTTTCCTATTTCGTCACGTCAGCAGTGTGTTTCACTAGAAGCCAAAAATATTCTATCCATGGTTATGGGTCACTAAGCGCCTTATGCTCGAGTATTTCACTTGATCACTATAATTGATCCACTTCACAACTACTAAACGCTACACCAACAACGGTAACATTCGAATATGAAGCTCCTTGCGACAATCACAAATGAAACTGAGTTAGAAACGTGTCGCCGGCACTGCGCCTGTCGCATGCTCCCGATAATTCACGAATGAATGGCCCAGTCCTGTTGCGAGTCCGCGGTTCAAATAAATAGCTTAACTGTTTATTAATATGTTTAATTGTTCCAAATGTACCTTTCTGCATAAACTAAATTACCTTAACTAATCGAACAGTTTGCTCTTTTCAAGCAAGTTACTTTAATAGTATATTACTTTCAATTAAACTGGTTAATGAAACTTTTCCAAAGCAACTGTTTAATTGTCTAAGTTTTATCATGTAACATCCAATAAAAACAGTATGTATATCATTTTCGAAATTTCTTACGATTACAATACTTTCTTGCCAATATCTTATACTCGTATGTATTCAACAAGTGAGGGTATATTATGCCGTATGGTATTTCACTTACCAATGTAAGTGGATGTTTCTGTTCAATCTCCTCAGGGTTTCCATCCATGAGTACAGCTCTGAGGTGAGCTATGTAGCTGGTGGCCAACCTAAGAGTGTCCAACTTAGAGAGTTTGGTGTCGGCTGGTACCCAAGGCAGCGTGGTTTTCAGACGACAAAATGCCCTTAAATTGAGACAAACACATTAAATAAAGTACCTACGTCGAATAGGGTCAGCCGGCCGCTACTTGGGCGGAGAAAGTCGAATGTGACATGGTCACCACAAGATGTCCCTTTTCAAGCCTCAAATCTTTGTTCTTCAGTATTTTTCGCTAAGAGGCGTTTTTTAGATACTTTGATGTATCCATACTTTTTGGACACCCTGTACGGTTGAGCTATGCTGTCATACAATAATAGTATACATTATTTGATATTTATTAAATGGTTCATATTTTAGAGTTTGGCCATGCACTAAAACATCAGAATGTTGGAAAATGTCGAAAAAAATCTTATCGAAAAGTTTGTGGTTATGTAAAAATCTCGAAAAATATACAAATCAAAGTTTGGCGACGTTGTGGAGTTTTTGTTTTATACTTCTCCGCGCCGCCACTAAGTCCTATTTTTAAAATCTTCCAAGCTCCGAAGAAGATGGATTTACGCCAAGTAGCAACCGTCGGTAACTGTTTTTCGTGCTGTACACGACCGACGCACAGTGATCCAGAATACCGAAAAGCTGGCAAGAAATAAAATTTCTACTGCATTTATCCGATTTTCAGTACAATATGGATTTTTAGGTGGCTGATTTCAAATCTGGGGTTAGCTTGCCTCTACATTTGATGGTCACTTTAGGGTCAAGAACATTTTCAAAAGAAGTCGATCTGCTCTGGAACCCGACCTCATGTCATTTAGGTTTTTCTGGTTAATAAGAAGTCAGTTAGTCACTACGAGGCACCTGAAAAACATTTTAAGGCCACTTCAAGGACTAACCCAAACTGAACCATATAAGTTTATATTTCTCAATAGTTTGAAAAAGTTAGCAAAAACTGACATTAGATTTTGTCTGCAGTATTTCAAAGTTCACAAACAATTTATACCAGATGGGACAAAGGGCCACTTTGAATAATATTACTAGAAAGAAGTAAATCTAAAAATCGACTCACGTTCAACGTGAAATCAACAACAATGACAGTTTTCTATTACATGCAATAAAAGTTCGTACTCTCTTTATTATGACAACATCTAGATGTTCAAATATATTCAACACACAACACAACGGATAATACAGAAGCTCCCGAATTTTGCCGTTTAAAAGTAATGTCGAATGACAAACCTGAAATTTCAAGTTCAATAATCCGCCATGACAAAGGTCGCAGTGTCCTGATTCTGTGGCCAATTTATTGTTCAAAGTATTAAATCAAAAACGGGAAATCATGTTCACTCATTTTCGAACCTCTGTTTTTTTTAATTTCAGCCAGGTTTTCGAATAAACAGACTACAGTGCGATGTACTTACACACAAAGGCAAAAGTAGTGCAGCTTCTAACATAGCATAACATCGCCTTAACAAAAAACGATAAGTTTCAGTTACCTTGAAAGAACTCTCATACGCGCCCTTTCTCGTTCGTTTGCTGCGTTTCGTTGATAAATCGGTTGCCGAGGTGCCCTTCCGCCATTACTGCTGTCTTCAGACTCAGTATCTGAGGTTGAAGTTGAAGAATGAGGCAGAATGGTATCAGAACAAACAGAAGGAACCTGCCTGCGATTCTGACGAGGCATAGTATGCTGCAATACATACACATATTTTAAATAATCCATCTACTTTCCAAAAATTATTGCTATCTCACAAATTAACCAAAACGTTATTGAAAATTTTTAGCCACAAAGACTAAGCAGATTCACGAATTAATAATATAAACAGAAGCCAGAAACCTAAATATCAGAGCACCGCAGCTGCTACGAGGATCTTTGTTTTTTGTTAATCCGATTTTTGAACTGCCTAATGTTACTAAAACTGGGAAAAGCCTCCTGAGGTGGATTGTTCCACAATCTCGATACCCTAAGGACAAAGGAGAGGTCGTAATGGCCAGTTCTGGTTGTTCGAAGTTTGACACGGTTAGGATGGGAGGCCGAAGTCAGGTGGGTCTGTCTTGGCGGTGAAACAGAAGCTCCGAGGAAGCTCACGCGCCGGCAACGCTCCCAAAAAAAAGGTGGGTCTGTCTGGCAGGCACGTCGCGCGGGCGCATCATGGAAGAGAACTAACTCTAAGGAGCAAAAAGCCCGTTGGCGTAGCCGTAGAAACTTCCGACACTGTCGGTTAGAGAAAAGTCATCGATCAGTCGGACAGTCCTCCTCTGATGTCGTCGGGCGGCACCACCCCAAACACGTGAGCAGTACTCGAGGCTAGTTCTTATCTGGGCTTGTACAGAGTAAGGACATCATGTGGAGAGAAATACTTCTTAGCCCTAAACAAGTAGCCTAGCTTTTTCACAGCAGCTGCCGCTATTGACGAGATGTGTTTGTGACAGATGAAGTCCTCGGTGATCTGGTATCCGACCAGTCAAAATAAAATGGATTTTTGGTAGAACTCGACCACCCATCGGAACTGGATGTGCGCTGGGGCGTTTCTTGCTGGTCAAGCTGCAGTGCTGTGTTTTGGAAGCACTAAACTGCAAGTTTGCGACACCAGGTCTCTCGCCCGGAAAGGAGGTCGCTGATATGAAAGGGGAAACAGTGTCGGAGCCAAGGCTGATCCCGGGGGAACACCTGTGTTAACTTTGTGGAATGAAAAGGAGAACCCGTCAATTACGACAAATATCTTGCGGCCAGAGCGGAGGTCAGCCACCCACTTGCAAAGCGTCTTTGGGAGGCCATAGGATAGAAGTTTTCATAAGAGTACAGCATACCGCAGCTGAGCGAACGCTTAATGATATCAAAAACAACGACATGAGCCTCACCATTAGGCTGGATGAGCTTACTCCACAGTTGGGTGACGTAAGCTAGGAGGTCTCCAGCGGATCGCTGATGTTGGAAACGATACTGCCTGTCATTAATCAAACCGTGCCGTTCGAGGTACTCCAGAAGCTTCCGATTTACGTACCTCTCAATCACCATACTTATAACAGAAAGCAGTGCTATAGGAATGTAGTTGTTAGAGTCGATGTTACATCCTTTTTTGGGATGGGTTGGACATGAGCAAATTTCCGGTTTTCTGGGTAAGATCCTGATTCGCAAGATAACCGGAAGAGACGTGAAAGAACTGGAGCAAGCTCCGCAGCACATCTCTTCATTACAACGGCAGGAATCAAGTCCGGATCAGAAGCTTTGTTGATGACGAGAGACAAGAGGATCCGTCTTACGGTCGTATGCCTGGAGGTTGCTTCCCGCATAGTTTACTGAATTTATACTGGCACCAATTTTAAAAACTAAGCTCAGATCTATATGTCCTTGATTAAAGGACATCCTAGCATCACACGATATCATATCAATGAGAATAATTTGGCATCCCTTTAGAACAAAATATTTTGGTGTCCATTCTTGAAACCAGGAAGTAGAATAACTGATAGAAAGTGGTCGTGGATCTATTACCTTTTGTAAAACTGTTTTCAGGAACACTGACCGACCGAACGGTCATTCTCGGGAGAAAAATCGCGAAGATCTCGTTCATCAGAAAGACGATGTTAACTTTGTCAGCAAAACGTTTAATGATATGAAGGACCTAGGAACAAATGAATACATTCACAAATTTGCCCCTGATAAACATAAACAGCTGTCAGAATTTTTTATCATTCACTAGGGAGCATTATGTTCTATCATTATTCTACTGGGCTCAAGAGTTGATACTCACAATAGTCAATGGAATGGATGGTGGTCAGTGATATCTGATTATTATAGGTTCTGGAATCACCATATTCATTGTCTGGCCTAATCAAACCACACATATATGTTTAAGCTAGCCCAACACCACGGCTCCACCCGCGTGGAAGTAGTGTATTATAGGTAATTCGTTTTGCATTAGTCTGAAAAAGATTGGTTTCGGAGAAATTCAACAATGCAAAGGACATTTTTTATACATTTTAATGCAACAATACCAGCCTGTGTGGCATTTCCTAACACCATAACTATTTATTCACAGTATTATACTTGAAGTAAAACAAAACACCAAACATATGTAAATCAAGACGATCACCCTAAGCAAACTAATGTCGAAATGCAGTAATTGTACGATACAAATGCCCCATTTATACAGGGTGGCCCATCCATGTGTGGACGGGATATTACGCATAAACAAATACATTTTGGTAAAATCTATTTATGGCATGTTATACATGACTGTACTCTTAGTGGCAAAATAGAACTATCCCACCGTTTGTCTTTTATTTCCATGGATGATGTGATTTTTTCCCTTAATTTTTGTGTGTTGTTTTTTTTATACTCCAACTAACACGAAGGCCTAATGCCTAAGCACCCATTGGGTACCGTGGGGCTATGGGGGATACATGGGAAAGGGGGACGCCACACGGACTCTGACGAGGGAACACGTTTGCATGCAACATGCACACATTCTGGCTCCGCCTACGAGAACCGCCGGGTGATACCTCCGCGTTCGACAGTCAGAGACCATCTACCACCTACGGACATCCATAGCCAAGGGGGACGGGACGGGACTCGAACCCGCACAGCGCACGACGACTGATCAGGAGACCGAAGAGTCTACTACTGCGGCCACCGCTGCTGCCTGCTATTAAAAGCTTAATAACTCAAAATCTAGTGATTTTATCTGAATCAAACCTTATACCAAAAAAAAGCTTATAAAAGATTGAATTCAAACTTGCACAAATATACAGGGTGATGCATTTGACATTTTTAAGAAAGAGTACAATTCGCCTTTTTGACCACCCTGTATGAGCAAAAATGAAAATTCGAAAAAATTCAGCACGCCAAATTTCAAAATGGCGGATTGAGGGGTTGCCGAAGTGGATGGTTTTTCTGGAGAAAACACCATACATCTCAGTAGCTAATTACCATAACTCCGTAGTATGTTATATCAATTTTCTTCTTTAGGTCAAAATTGGGACACCTGTATAATTGTCAATATTCCAGAAATGTGCCCTCAAATGTAATGTATAACATTCCATAAATAGATATTCCCAAAATGTATTTGTTTATGACTAATATTCCGTTCACACATGGATGGGCTACCCTGTATACCCTTACTCACTGACTGATCGCTTCCGCGCCAGACACGTCATGAAAGATTTAATTATGCATGTGAAAAAGATTTTTATTTTATATTATTCTAAGTTATTTCGCTGGATAGGAAGCAGCCTATTGCAGACTATAATCTATCTCTGTATCAAATTTTATCCAGACCCGTTCAGCCATTTTGGCGTGATTAAGTAACAAACAACTTTCTCATTTATAATGTTATTAGCGAAGTACGGATTTATTGAACGACGTACAACTCTGTGGCAATATGTTTTATCCGTCTTCCAGGTGACATTTCATCTCTCTTTAGCTTTCCACATTCCTGTACAGTGTGCTCCTACACAAGGGCGGATTCAGGATTTCGTCTAGGGGGGCCCAAAAGTTATTTGGGGCTGGTCATTTTTTAACCTCAGTGGAACTTCTAGAATGTATCCTATTATTGCTCCTTAAATCCATTATGTTCTATCTGGTCAAGGCCAGCTTGAAAAAAGAACATGGAAAATGCTCAGAAATCCTCAGAAAGGCAATATTTTATTATATGAGAACAAAATAAGTACGTGGCATATATAAGCAACTAGTGTAATAATAGTAAAGATTCAAACATAGAAAACTTCATTGCTGGTAAAAAAAAATAATAAAACATTCTGAGGGACTCCGAGACATATCCCAGTCCATTCCACACAAAACAATGTTTTTGATTGCGAAAGCGAACACGACACGGTTAGGATGGGAGGTCAAAGTCAGGCAGGTCTGTCTGGCAGGCACATCGCGTGACGGCATCGTGGAAGAGAGCTCTGAGGAGCAAAGCGCATTGGTGTAGCGGTACAAGAGAGCTAGATCGCCGACGGCCCACCTGTGCGAAAGGGTCCCGAGACTGTCTGTTAGAGAAGAGTCATCGATCAGTCGGACAACCCTCCTCTGGTCAGCGTCGTGCATAAATAATGTAGTCGGGGCGGCAGCACCCCAAATGTGTGAGTAATACTCGAGGCTAGGCCTCATCTGGGCCTGGTATAGAGTGAGAAGGTCATGCGGAGAAAAATACTTCTGAGCCTTAAACAAATAGCCTAACTTTTTCCCATCAGCTGCCGCTCTTGACGAGATGAGTTCGTGCCAGACCAGGTCATCGGTGATCTGGACTCCGACCTGTCGAAGTGAATGGCTCTTTGGCAGACCTCGGCCATCCATCGAAACCGGATAAGCTTTAGGACGCTTTTTGTTCGTCAAGGTACAGTACTGTGTTTTGGAAGCATTAAACTGTACAAGATTGTTGCGTCCAAAAGCAGTGCCAACCTCCAGGTCTCTCGTCAGAGAGGAGTTCGTCGCTAGTCTTCTATTTTCCAGCTCAGCGGCAGAGATCGGCTGTCACTCTGAATTCCTGCATGTAGAGTGCTGTCATCAGCGAAATTGTGATTTGGGTTGATCGTGCAGGAAAGGAGGTCTTTGATATGTAACAGGAACAGTTCGGAGCCAAGACCGATCCATGGGGATCACCCCCGTTGACGTTGTGGGATGAAGAGGAGAACCCGTCAATTACGATGAGATAAAGTCAGCCACCCATCTGCAAAACTTTTCTGTGAGGCCATAGAAGTTTGCTTAAAAGGAGAGCGTGTCACAGCTGATCGGACGCTTTCGTGATGTCAAGAGCAACGACATAAGCCTCACCATAAGTCTGGATGAGTTTACTCCACAATTACGTGACGTAAGCTAGGAGGTCCCCTGTGGATGGCTGGTGCCGGAAACCATACTGCCTGTCGCTAATCAAGCTGTGATGTTCGAGGTAGTCGAGAAGCTCGCGATTTAGGTACCTCTAAATCACCTTACTTATGACAGAATGCAGAGCTATAGGCCTGTAGTTGTAAGGGTCGGTCTTAGATCCCTTTTTCGGGATGGGTTAGATATGAGCGAATTCCCAGTTTTCTGGGAAGGTGCCAGCTTCATAAGTATCTGGAGGAGACGCGAAAGAATTGGAGCAAGCTCCGCTGCGCACCTCTCCAGTACAATGGCAGGAATCAAGTCCGGTCCAGAAGCTTTGTTGATGTCGAGCGACAAGAGCACCCGTCTTACGGTCTTATACCTGTATGTTACTTTCCGCACATTGTAGGGAACCCTTTGAATTGACGACACTTGGGCGTTGGAGGGGACGTCTATGGTGGAGTTGGCAGCAAAGATCTTGGCAAGGACTTCCTCCTTGGCCTTTGAGTCCGATACAATCGTTCCATCCTGACACGTACGTGGTGGAAGGCTGCTGTGTGAGAGTTTCTTTTTAATCTGCTTGGACAGCGTCCAGAAAGACTGACTGCCATTGCGCTGTGACCCTGGTTTAGGCACTTTTACTGTATGAGGGATGTATTCCTCCATTCCGACGTGGATCATTTTGGTTATCGCATCCGTGTCAGTGAAACAGACATCTCTCCAAGGAAAGGTAGAAAAGAAGTCTCTGAGCCCCTCCCAGTTGGGATGTCCGTAATGCCAAATTTTGCAGCCTGTGAGAGTTTCTGCTGCCACAGCGGGTTCTGACCGAAACCTAACCTCCACAACACCGTGGTCTGAGCTACCCAGGGGGGGCAGGAGAGCAGTGCTGCAAGGGACAGGATGTTTGGTCAGAAAGAGATCCAGCAGGCTACTGGCATGTGATGAGACGCGGGGAAAAAAGTAGGGCCCGTCACCAGCTGGGTCAGCCCTTGAGTAACAGCGAACGCTTCAGCTGCTGCATCGGTCTTGTTTGAGTACAACCAAAGCAAATTATGGTCATTGAAGTCACCGAGGAGAACTACCTCTGAAGCGGGATGATCGATGTTCAGGAAGTCGATCTTGACGGCGAGGTATTCAAGAAGGTCCTCCCAGTTATGGTTCGAGGGAGAGCGATAAAGGCAGCAAATAAATTTGGGGGATGTTTTGGAGTTGAGGCGAAGCCACAGAATGTCCTTCCGGTCTGATTCCAGAGAAACATCCCTGCAGCAGGAAAGACTGCTGCGGACAAAAACCCCCGTTCTTTCTCAGATTGGAGTGCACCTCGTAATTTGAGAGGGTAAGATGTTTAATCGGTGCGGACTCTGAGATTTTTGTCTCCACCAAATAAAGCATTTCGGGACGATTGGATTGCAAGTGGTGATGTATAGCATCAATCTTGCTGTTAATCCCGCAGATGTTTGCGAAACAAATTTTATCTTCAATGTTCCCTCGAGTCCACCCTCCACCCGTCCATTCCGAGAATGGAGTGAGTTTACATCCGGAATTTTTAGTACTCGAGGGATCCACCATCATTAATTTATTTGTTTTGGAAGATAACCGCTGCATAGCTTAGGTGTGGAAACATGCGGACATTTAAAAGACACCCTGGGAAAAGCTAGCGGGTGGTACCGCCTCGGTCGACTGGTCCTTATCTACCACCTTCTTTTTGCGTGTTAATGATATCAAATAAACCTAAAATGGCCCGTTGGCGGACTTGTACCGCCACCCGGCAATCGGTACTGAGGTATTCCTTAACGCGTGTACAATCACTTGAACAGGAAGAAGTTGCATACTGGATACAACAACTTCCGGAACAAGCATTTGCAACTGCCCCGCTCAGTAGGTGTTAGGGTTTTTTCAGACTTTCGTTGTAGAAATTAGATTTACGGCATAGTTGTTGTTTTCTCAGTTTTCGAACCGGTATTGATCGCATGTAAAAATGTTGGAAATCATTAGAATAAACTATCTATTAGATCGTATTTTTTTTGATAATGAATGTTTGTACGAAACAAGTACAGGAATATAGTTCTGTACATATTCACGTGTAGTGCAGCAGCT